ATAGATAGATAGATAGATAGATAGATAGATAGATAGATAGATAGATAGATAGATAGATAGATAGATAGATAGATAGATAGATAGATAGATAGATAGATAGATAGATAGATAGATAGATAGATAGATAGATAGATAGATAGATAGATAGATAGATAGATAGATAGATAGATAGATAGATAGATAGATAGATAGATAGATAGATAGATAGATAGATAGATAGATAGATAGATAGATAGATAGATAGATAGATAGATAGATAGATAGATAGATAGATAGATAGATAGATAGATAGATAGATAGATAGATAGATAGATAGATAGATAGATAGATAGATAGATAGATAGATAGATAGATAGATAGATAGATAGATAGATAGATAGATAGATAGATAGATAGATAGATAGATAGATAGATAGATAGATAGATAGATAGATAGATAGATAGATAGATAGATAGATAGATAGATAGATAGATAGATAGATAGATAGATAGATAGATAGATAGATAGATAGATAGATAGATAGATAGATAGATAGATAGATAGATAGATAGATAGATAGATAGATAGATAGATAGATAGATAGATAGATAGATAGATAGATAGATAGATAGATAGATAGATAGATAGATAGATAGATAGATAGATAGATAGATAGATAGATAGATAGATAGATAGATAGATAGATAGATAGATAGATAGATAGATAGATAGATAGATAGATAGATAGATAGATAGATAGATAGATAGATAGATAGATAGATAGATAGATCAAGCTGCCGAAACTTTTAAGCAAATATAAACCAAATATCTGCGTCCCAGTGTCGGACGCATTTTTTTAATGCCCCACCCAGGCTGTTACTGGAGCCCTAATATAACCCATCCTTTGGGTTGAACGGGGTTTCTGTGAAATCTCCCTTGGTGATCCTCATCTGCGTGGTGGCACTTTGTGTCATCTTGTGTTAATTGCTGGATCGATGTCCAGGTAGGGGTTGAATCTCACTCACTCATTCACTCACTTCTAAACACAAATATTCTTCCGTCTTCATGTGGGAAGCAGTTTTTCGTTATTTATAGCCCACCCCGGCTGTTGCCGAGGGCCCTAATATAACCCAACCTATGTGTTCAACGGGGTTTCTGGGACCTCCCCCCCCCGGGTGATTCTCGTCTGAATGGTGGCACTTTGTGTCACCAGGTGTTTATCGCTCGGCGTGATGTCCTGGTGGGGTAAAAGTAAATCAGCCAATCAAAACTTCTAAACAGCATTTATCAGAACGGTCTTTGATTAAGATTTTTAGTTAGATGTTAAATATGCACTTTTGGATTATCTATGAAATCTGACTCAAGTCTTAAGGTTCTTGTAAGCATTGTGTGTTTCATGTATGTATGTGCTGAGGAAGGTTCCATGGCCGCAACGTTCCCATGTTGTTTGTTATATTGTGAAGCTTGTTGATATACTTTTCGTTTTTTTTTTAAAATACATGTTCGAGTAACATTATCTGAGAAGATTTTTTTTTAAAACTTAAGTTGCTAAGATTTATTTTAGGTCCATTATGAGTCCAGTTCGGTTCTCTGGCTAAGCCATGTGTTAAATGCGTATGCTCACAAAGTTAAGTAAATAAACTAGAACATATCTCTTGCAACTGTATCTTATTTTTGCCTTCTTTAATAATTTCGGCCAGGATGGGGGTGGGGGGGGGGGGATGACAGCAAATACAATTTTCCACACCCACACCGGGTACCACCTGACCTTTCTGCGCCTCAGGCGCTGGGATATTAGGGCGGTGTCCCTGAGATAACATAATGTAGGTCAGTGTGAGTTATGAATCTGTGTTAACTCACCCACTACCCTACAAGGAAGTGGTACCTGTTGCCAGCAAAGTTTCCTTAAATTGGCATACATAAAATCACACGATGCATCTGCACATTTTTACATAACAAGTGTATAAAATGTTTAAAATATATACTTTATTTTTATAAAAGGACAAAAGAAACATATACGCCAGTAAAACGATTAATTTTTCTAAAAAGTGGAAAAGATAATATAAATGGCTTGTCGTTTACGAAGATTACCTGGCAAACAAGTACAACAAGAAATGGAGGAAGCAACTTAGAGAACTCAACCAGGATAAGTTTCGACACACTTTGGCAAGACGATTGATCAGATCGTATGACTTTCGACTACTGTTTTGCGTAAAGTTTATATCTGTAAGTTCATTCTGTTATAATAGGACAGCCATTGTAGGGCTGTTTGCGTTTATTATATAGTCTACCAACTCGCAGACAACATCAGACTAATCAGAGTTCACACAGAGAGAACTCAGAAACAAACTTCGGGACTTTTTCGAAGTCTAGAGCCTCTATTTCTCTATTGGAGGAGAAGCTCAGAAGCCGAGTGAAGATTTGAGATAATAGGTTCATATACTTGCGTTGTGTTTAGTTGATTTCGACTTGATTTAAAACTGATGTATATTTGTAAAGTAAATTTCAGTTCAATGATAATCAATCAGCCAGGAGCCGTCTCCACACGGAAGGTTGCTTGCAAAACGGATCTCAGTCACTCACAGTCACTGTCTCTTTTCACAGACTGCTCTTAGTCAATTTCTTGATGTTGTCCTCCCACTTGTATCGTTATCTTTCTCTTGCTTCAGTCTGAAATGGACTGTCCTTGCAATAACGGTCGCTAATTGGACGGCGACGGCCGCTTAGTCGGAGTTCAGTCCCCTGGCTGCAGTGCAATTATGGAGTGGAAAAGAGGGAACGACACAAATGACATAATTAGGGTTTAGGGTTAGGGATAAGGTTAGGGTTAGGCTAATGTGAGTCGCAGCGCGTGGTATAGATGCCATGTTGAACTCACTGTGTTTTGTGATTCGTGCCTTGTCCACTCCGTAATTGCACTGCAGCCAGGGGACTGAACTCTGACTAAGCGGCCGTCGTCGTCCAAGTAGCGACCATTATTGCAAGAAGAACCAAAACATCCCATTCAGGGCCTCAAAAGGTCATATCGTTAAAAATATGGAATAGGAACACTACGAACTATGCTTTGCGTTATTATATAATTTTATTTGAACCTAACTCGAGTTTTCAGTAGTACAGTTTTAAGTATACCGCCTGTCATACGGGTGACCGCTGTTCGATTCCCGCTGGGTGATAACTGTTTTTAGCCCTTAAAAGGGCGGTTGGGACGTTGTGTTGGGGTTTAAATCTAGGCTGCGATATCTGTGCCTTTTGCCCCAACACATCCGATTTCAGCAAAGTCCTAATTTGTCGCCTTAAACAATGGATTACAGTCTATTCCTCCCCACAACACTTCAATGGAACGAAAATTATTCCTCCCCACGTCGCTTAGCTCAATGTCTAATCATTGCTATCTATTTAGCAATAGCGGCAGAAGTGGAAACTGATGATGATGGCCTAAATGTTTTTAATACATAACCTGAGGCTCTCAAAGGGATGTTTTTCACTGTGAATAATTTGAGACGGTATTCGGAAGAGTGCCCAAAAGAATGTTATATCTTTTAATGTGGTCGAAATGTTTCAGCTCTCTCTCTCTCTCTCTCTCTCTCTCTCTCTCTCTCTCTCTCTCTCTCTCTCTCTCTCTCTCTCTCTCTCTCTCTCTCTCTCTCTCTCTCTCTCTCTCTCTCTCTCTCTCTCTCTCTCTCTCTCTCTCTCTCTCTTCTAAAATTACATATAACCAGATGTGTAAAATGGATGTGCATGCAAAACTTTAGTTCTATAACAAGACTGAAGTGCAGAAATGGATGAACAACCATAACTTTCTGCAGGAGTTCATACCTCGTAAACTCGATGAAAAAAAAAGATAGTGAAGAAATTATTGTTTACCGTCTTCACCTGACTAATAAATAGCAAACACATTGCTAAAACAAATTTCTTTCTTTGAGACTAACCAGTATAAAAAATTTCTCGATTGCCTCCTTCCTCCAGATTTTATAAAGTTACTTCTTTGAACAAGTCACACACAGCAGATAGTCAACATGTGACACACTAGTTATAAGCAAGATTGAAATCCTGTTATTGCAAGGTCCAGAGATTACAAACATGTTACCTATAATTTTGGTCAGTGCTCAAATTCAGTATAACTAGAATGTCTTTCCAATGAAACTCACAGGTGCATAGAAAAAAAGGCAACCCCTCCCCCCCCCCCCCCAACCCCCTTCCATGAAAACACTTGGAAAAGGGAGATAGAGAGTGAAGTTTATAATGTGGGAAGAACATAAGGTGGGCTGTATGCAAAAGTGAAGGATAGAGCAGCTCCATTGGGTGATAGAAGGCAGAAGAAGAATGTTTAAGTGACTTGCCAAACTGGATGTTTATCAAACAGCATTTGGTTTTTACATAAGACAGAAAGCCATAAACTTTCTCTTCATGGTCTTCTTCTTCTTCACTTCCTCTTTTACCGCTGTGGGTGTCGAGGGAGACAGCATACTATATGTAATGGGTGACTTCAACGGGAGGGTAGGAAATAACAGAAGAGAATACGAACAGTTTTCCTTCTTCATGGTCACCGACTTTAAACTTCACTAAAAAGTTATGGGTGTTAGTCCATCTCCTGATCTTAATCTTGTTCCAGAACCTGAGTGTTGCTTGCACGCCTGTTTCACAAATCAGGCTTATTTGTATGCAGACTCTCGGTTCCTTACCTCTCAGATGAATGTACTCCAACTTCGGACGATGCCCCCAATTAATCAACTCCTACAACATGTTTGATAAAAAATCAGTGTGCCTGTTCTTGTTTTTCCGACAATGGTGCCCCGGATCCCACATGGGGAGAAAGTTATAAACAGGTTTGCTTACCAGTGCTACACAGTCTGGACTGTATAAGAAGAAGAGCCATTACTTTCAACTCCATCAGTCCCTGATTGTTGGTGTTAGAATACAAATTTGCCTTGGACAAAAAGTGTTAAATAATACACATTAGAATTACTGAACGTGACTCTTGCCTACTTGCAGAAACTGCTACAGATCAAATAGTCTAAACATGCCAAGTTTAAATTCCCTACCTCTGAGTCTGTCAGAAATTCTGGAGACTCATCGAGGTCCTTTGAGAGAGCTGGAGATTTGGGCGCTCCTTTGTCAGTGTGCAGAAATAATGCAAGATTTACTCATTAAAGGTAAAATTATTGAATAAAGATGTTACCTGTAATGTAACATAGTGCACTATATGTAACTATTATTTCTGCAGCCATCACCACCACTTCTATTCCTGTGTATTTTCTACATGTTTTTCTACATGTCCCCCCCCCCCCCTTTCTTCTCCTCTTTCTTCTTAATTATTTTTGTATTAATCATTCTCTTTCTTTTTCTGTTTCTGCTATTCAGAAATTATTAAATTTGCTCATTCTCCATAGTCAAGTACTGTTGGATTTAGAGATACCTAATAGCAGTGATTCCCAAACTATGTGCCACGGTGCCCCAGGGAGCTTTTATTTTTTGTTATCTCTTACATATGAATGTTCATACTTTTACTTAGGTTAGGGCGAGCGCCAAATTTTTGTAATTGAAAAAAGGCGCAGCGACTAAGAAAAGTTTGGGAAACACTGCCTAATAGTATAAGAAATATGGCTTAAAGTTACACATGCACATATGATGTATTGCTGAATCAAATCGAGTCTGCCCTCTTCTATGAGATTTAACCTTGATGCCCATGGCAGCTGGATTGTATTGCTGTCACTGAGGTGGCTTGCCATTGTGTATTGTGTTCATAACTTTATATGAAGGAGCAGGTCTTTGTCAGCTCATTCCAGGGATCCATGAGCCATTAAATATACGTAACGTATGTGTTTTCATTCTGTGATTTTTCTCCGTGTTTCCTTTTGTTACAGGTGAAGCTGTTGGCGACGAAGCATTTCGACACATAGTCACACCAAATAGTTTATTTATTCGAGACAATGGGACTGTAACTCTGACAGAAGTTACTAGCGACCTGAGTGGCTCTCTCTACTTAGCTCCAGAACTGGAGAACAATTTAAGGCAGTTTGTCACAGACACTGCCTTTGAAAAGGTAATTGTGATGTGCTTAGCATGTTTACATTATTAGGTTAGGAAGTGCAGAAGAAATGTTAAGATTAAGAACATAAAAATTATATCAGACCCTTCTTAAGTCCACTAAAGTAGTACACTGTATTCACTGGGATTTCTTCTTCTTCTTCAGCTTTCAATATATATGAGCGTTCGACATCTTGTAGACCTTTTGGCCCAACATATCTGATTTCAGCAAACTTTTAATTATTTGCCTTTTACAGCATGATTGTTAGAGGGCAGTGCATATATTCCTTTCCCCCCCCCCCCCCCCCCACTTCTTTGAGAATGGAGCTCTAGAACAACCACAAGGTGTTTACTGGGATTGATTGGCACTCATTAATGGCAGCATATCCTTAAGATTAAATATTTTTAAGTGTATCTTGAGTATTCATGTGAGGAAGACACTTGTGCCTTCAGTGAAAAGGTGGCATCATTTTCAGGTGAGAGATAACGTCATTGCATCTGTAGCCTTCATTTGTTCCCATTCTGCTTCTTTCTTGCAATTTCTATTCTTACTTTTTCCCATTCCTATCTTTGTGTTGCAGATCTTTTGAAGAACATCTCTCCCATCACAGTCCGTTGATAAGCTACTTGAACCTTGCCAGCTCCCTGTCTTTGGTATTTTATGCCCAGCTATGTCCCATGTCTGTAGTCAAGCTTGTCATCCGTAACCTCTTTTTTAAACAGTCCATTAGCAGACTGTCAAAGCACTGCTTTTCGAATCTGGCAGCTTCCCAGCATGCTCTGTTCCATACGTATTGATGTAGAGAGACAGATTCTGCTACATGGACAACACATGGTCTCTACAAAACTACACTGGCTATATACTGTGGAAAGGTGACACTTCATCTCTGGCTTACATTTGCTGTGATTCCCATGCATCTCTGTATAAGGTATATTACTGAATAAATTTAAGTCTAACCTCCTCCGGGAGATTAAACCTTGTTTCCTGTCGCAGCTGGATTGTATTGCTGTCACTCCAGCGACCCATGAGCCATTACATTTATATAAGGTATATATTTTAACTCGCAAAAGGCATGGTACCATTAAGGAGGGGCAGGGGCTGACCAACATAAATATGGGCACAGGATATCAGTGACTTCTTGGGTATGAAAGTACAGGCGGGAGAGCTAACAAGAGACTGAGTTTTTTTTTTCCAGGCAGACCGTGATGAGAGCGACGTTCCGCAAAGGACCTGCTACATGATGATGATGGTATTTAACACTGTCATCTAGAAAGACACCCCACACCCCTTCCTACCCCACTTTTTTTTTTAACTTGAGGATTAAGGCAGTTTTTGGAAACTTTTTCTTTAACTTACTTACTTTTACTGTTAAGTTAGCTGCGTATCCTTTACAGGACATTGCAGAGCGAATTCCAGCCTTTGTTTGGCTGTTGTGGTTTTTCTAGGCAAATTGTACGTTCAGTACCTCTGTCGAAATTAGCGCAAGACAAATCGAAGCATGTTCGCAACGCCTAAGCCACAGATAATGACTTGTAAACACACACAAAACAGCTGTACCTATATGTAGTCATTGAAGAGATACCTAGGACTGCAATGATGTCAATCTGAGGCGCAGTAACACATCCTTTGACAGCTATCTGTAAGCACAATATGTATTTTCAATTTTACTGTCCTACAGATGTTTGTGTATTCCTTGGGAAGGACTCTGCAAGTTGCTTCTGAGTTTGGTCTAACAGAGAATGAGGTTAGTCATCTTTGCATAATTTTTTTGATAGGTAATACTCTTGTCATCTGCTAAAATCATAGTCTCTCTCGCAACAGCAAGATCAAAATTTGTTAAACGTTGATAAGAATAGTAGTTTTAAATGGCTCTAAAACTTGGAGCACAACTAAAAAAAAAATAAGAAGAAGATTAATTACACATTTTTGAAAAGAGTCTTACGACGAATCTTTGGCCCCATCAAAGATGCAAACAGCGGGGAATAGAGTCTGAGAAGCAGCAATTGAAAATCATAATCTGTTGAAATCACCATTGATCACTGGCATCATGAGAGCTAATAGACTGAAATGGCTGGGGCATATTGAGAGAATATCAGATGAAAGAGAGGTAAAAACTGTATACACAAGAGAGCTGAATGGTCATAGATCATGAGGCAGATAAAGAAGACGATGGAGAGATAATGTCCAGACAGACCTGCAAACACTTGGCATCCCCAACTGGAAAGAGAAGGCCAACCAGAGAGATGAGTGGGAGCCAGTGATATCTGCAGCAACGAACCTCAGGGGCTCGGAATGCAGAAGAAGAAGAAGAATATGGTTGTCATAACAAGCTTCATGATTATCATCAGGCGCTTTGCTGACAGATATAAAAGACACAAACCCCCCCCCCCCCCACACACACACACACAAACCTGCAACTGAATCATTAGCTTAGCATGCAGAGCAAACTTGTGTGGTGTTCACTGTTTGTCAGCAAATGTTAAAGTTGTTGCATTTGATTGCTCCTGTAGCACAGTGATAATGAATGCACTTATGTTGTTCCAGCATTCTCACTAGTTTCAGCAAATGATGCTGCAAGTTCAAAAGTCTGAGGAGTTCATGTTGATTGGTCTCTGCATCAGCCTGCAGAGGTTTCTTAAGAGCTATAGACAACCAGTCGTGATGTATGAAAGTGAATCATGGACAGTCAGGCAGTTAGTAAAAAAATTGTGTGGAAGCTGCAGAGATGAGAACACCTTGGACAGAATAAAAGTGTAATTTCCTGTGTGAGTTCTGGGGCCAATTTGTATTGACTGACAAGGGAGCGAGTCACTTAAAACTGTCCCCTTGTCTTTCAGGTGTTGAGCATCAGCTATGACCTTGATTCTCTCCTCCAAGCCATGAGTGAGCGGAATGGTGCCCTGAGACTTGGCTTGATGCACATCTTGGAGGTCTGTGTAGTCACTCTGATTTTATGTTGACTGGGATAGCCCAGAATGGGCTAAAAAAAAACTTTGTTTTGTTTTGTAGTCATAGTTGCACAGTCTCTTTTGTACTGGTTAGCCAGCATTGTCGTCCATTATTCAATTCTGAAGAAGGGCAAAGGTGATTTTTTTTGTTGTTGTTGACAAGTACAAATATATGGGAGACACAGAAGTGCATTGTTGGTATCGTTGGCATGTGTTCAAATCTCCAAAAATTGATATTTTTTTTTAGAAGTTAGAGTGCATCTGCCGGATAGCCAAGAAAGCTTCAGACTGCAGGCAAGCTCACAAAACTCAAATTATCGAACAAAGCCAGAATTCAGAATTGAGTGAGTGACCAGGACTTCATGCTGTAGTTCATGGTAAAATGGTAATTTTATAATAATGACAGAAAAATGATAATTACAGATGTGGACTTATCAGGTGCCAGTTTGATGATCAGAAATATGAAGCTAATACAGTAAACGTTTCTATGTAAAAGAGAAGAAAAAGATTATATTGTAGCAAGTCCATTGAAGAATTTTTTTTTTTCTTTTTTTTTTTTTTTTACTTCCTTTTTTTTACCACTTTGGTGTCGAAGGGAATATACAGTTCTGGTTCTTGATCTTCTTGCTGCATTGACCATGGACACATTGTATTCTTTTTTTCCCCCCTGATGTTATCTTTTCATCTTGTTCTTTGTTTTAGTCATTCTCTCTGCCTGTCCCCTTTTCTAGTATATGGGTTGTATGGTAGGCATCACAAGACATTCTCTCAAAGTGAGTAAACCATTTTATTTTATGTTTTGCAGAATGTTACTTTCATTAAAATCTTGTCACAAAGAAAACTTGTTCCTCTGCCAGTTCTCCTGCTTCGTACTTTTTCATGCTTAGAATGGTGACTGTTATGTTGAATGAGCTGTGCCTTCCATTACTGTTCTTTTAAACCAGCCAATGTGACATTTCTAAGATAACAAAGTTTTTCAGCTCTGAGAGATGACACTTTTTATTAGCCAATTTTCTTGAATATATCTTTTTCTTCTTCTTTCCTCTCCTGGAATGCTTCACAGTGTCAGGACAAGAAAAGGTCCCTGAAACAGGTCTTTCTGTTCGCTTCGTATAAAGTACTTTTCAGTGTCTCTAGTTTTGCAGTCCTTATTCTGTGTTGTTGACCTCTGCATCAATTACTGATGTATCTGTATAACATTGCTTTCTGTGGTGTCCTAATGCTAGTCTTGTTACATGGCTAATTATCTGATTTATTGTCTACTGTAAAGTTCAGTATTGAATATATGATCTTATGAAATTTCAGATAACCCGGTTACTCTATCTCCGTCTCTCTCTACCCCTGTCGCCCCCCTTTTTTTTCCCCTTCCTTCCCCACATAATCTCTTTTTCACTGAGTTTCTCTTACCTTCTTTCTCTTCTCCCTTACACAGTCTTGTCTGTCTCTCATACACAGATTATACATTTCCATCTATTGTGTAGTAAATTTTTATCTGATGATGTGAATAAATGAACATTTTGTAAACTAAATTAACTTTCTTTCCTTGTTTGTTTCAGGCTTGTTCGCTGCAAACGAGCCAGCACCCACACACACCGTCCCACGCATACACCCTGTCCAGGCTGTATAAGACAGTGCTCAATAACAGTGTCAGGGTAGGGTTTTTCTCTCGTTTCTTTTTCCAGTTTTATTGCATTACCACAGTTCTGTGGTGTTTTTTTTTTCCGCCTCCTTCTCTTCTTCCTTCTTCTTCTTCTTTTTGTGTTGTGTCTATTTACAGCATGGTCATTTGTTGGCTTGTTCATGTTTGGTTAGATTTTGTAGCTTATGTCCCCCTTGGGGGTCACTTGGTCCCATGTGAGGGGGGGGGGGGGGGGGGGAAAGGAAGGGAATAGATCCAGTGACCCCTAAAAAACATGTTGTGAAAGGTAACTAACTAATTAGTGGTATTTCTATGGAAGTGGGCTTGTATCATTCTGAGAGGTGAGGAGCCAGCCGTTTGCATACACATAAGCTAGAATATGTAAAGTTGATGTGCTTGCAAAACCCAAGTTCTGAAACAAGACTAAAGACCAGAAAGGGATGAACCAGAGCTTGTTGCCAGTTTACAGCTGATGAATGAGAAGAAGCAGCAGCAACTTAAGTTTTGTTATGGGATGAGGTAGTCAGCAGAAGAAGATGACGTTAGGCTAGTTATACTGTTGTAGTTTTACAGCACCAAACAAACTGTTAATGTAACAGTCACATTATTGTAATTTTATTGATAATTTTAGTGATAATTCATACTGTTGTGATGTTACAAACAGCCACCTTGTCATAATGTTATAAAACCCCCTAAAAAATGTCACAGCCATACTGTCACAGTACCTTGACTCCCAGGTCAACCTAGCCTTGAGTGGGTACCGGGTGCAGTCCCGAGAAGTAAAGGTGGCCTGCGTGGTGCTGACCACATCACCCATCTTGTGCCGATTGGTCTATAAAAATATAGGTCTAACCCTATATGCCCTATACGCCTAAAGGCGTAGAAAACGGACCTTTGCTTTATACGGTAACAGTGTTAAATAACCTAACATAACATAACAACCCGTTAGGGTCGTGGAGGTGTATCGAAGGGAGCACTAGCACACAAAACCTGCCATCTTTCTTTGTTTTCCGCTTGATGAATATGTTTAATTAAGAATCGACATCACAGCACTCCAGACACTCCCATAAGTGCTCAGTCCAAATCTTCAGCAGCAAGCGAAGAGTTCCAATTCCAATGGTACCAGTAACTGTCTGATTGTATATCCGTCTCATCCTTCCCCTGAATATTGAGCGTCAGCCAGATCCCCTGGTAACCCCTCACAGTGCCATTCTCCTCAGACCATAATGATCTATCTGCGCCTCCACACTGTTCACCAGTTAGCTTGATGAATAAGTGTATGATGACTTAGTCCTGTCCATTTCTTGGTGTTCCAGGTTCTTCTTTGCCCTCCTCTTCTTCAACTACCCTCCAGTGTTCCTTGAAGTACTGTCTTTGCTATTGAATCATGTCTCACCACATGCCCACAATGTTATATAACCAACAAAACTGTCACAAAACAACTCAGCCAGCACAATCACACTGTCAAAATGTTTTGAAACCACATAAACTTTACAGAAAGTTTGTTGGCTAAAGTTCAAGCTTGTTGGCTTGGTTATGTTTCAGAGTTCATTTCGTGACAGCAGTTATGAAAGCAGCAGCAGCCATTATAGCACCATGACTTCTTTACCTGGCAGAGCCCGCAGACCACGTCCACGAGTTCGACATCGACATGAGAATCAGAGGTCACGGTCTCGATCAAGATCCAGGTCTAGATCGAATTCTCGCAGTCGAATGAGAAGTATGTGATTTTTTTTATAATGAAGATTACATAATGGTTAGAATGGAATTGTTGATCAAAATTTTCACACCTCTTTAGAAGAGAAGGGATGTTGAATTTCTTGACCACTGAGCAGACAGGCAGGTAAAAAGTCCTCTGCTTCTTTGAAAAGGTCACATCACTAAAAACATTTACAAAAATTATCTTTGGTCACTAAATGTCTATATCGCAAGAAGGGTTATTTCTAAGTGAAGGGAAGTAATAATTAAATACACATAGTGCAAAGAATAAACTGATTTCCACCCGTTCAACTATCTTCTTCCTCTTCACATTCACCGGCTGTTATGAAATTGTACAACTTCACAATGATGTCAGTTTCTAAATTTTTTTTTACATTTTTAAAAATTCAGCCCCAGATACTATCTAACAATTGTTTTGGGTAAGTCATAACCGTGTTTACACACCATGCAGTTGTAATGAGCACTGAAGCTCTTATACAGGCTTAGTGGCCACTGCCCCAAAACATCATACCCTTAAAAAGATACCAGACAAGCCTAGATGTCAGCATGTACAAGGTGGCAGGGTTAAGATGGTAATATTTTCTTCACTGTTTGTGTTTCATTGTCGGCAAACTTACAGTCTTATGGATAGTGGAATACTTTAAAAATGTTTTTGACTTTTTTACAGGGGACCAGGATTCTGGCATTTTGACCTTAAGTCAGCCAAGTTCTACCACTTCACAAAAAGCAGATGATACAGGAGCATCAGAAAGAGACAGGAGGACTAGAATAGCAGAAGTGGCAAGTACAGTGTCTACGACAATACCAAGCTCTGGGTTTCTCAATGCCTCATTGACTTCAACAGAAAGTGATCATTCAGAATTTGGGAACAAGTATTTTCAGGTGTGTGTGGTGAGCATTTTTTAAGTTTTGTTTTTTCACATGTGAGGAAAATTATATGTTAATGTAATACGAGTGGTATGTGGTCACTTCAATTGTCCATTTATATTTGCATATCAAAATTGTGAATAAAAATTCAGTCAAGAATTTGTTTCTCCTTCATCATCAGCATCTTCATCTCCTCCTCCTCCCTCCACTTACCTCATCGAAGTTGGTGGGCGATGTACAGATCTTCTATGCATTCTTTCTGATATGTTGTATAAGTTTATCCTAATTAAAGTCCGTTTTTGATGCTGTCACTTCATATTTTAAATAATCTTTCCCTTGATCTTCTTCTTCTTCGTGTTCACCAGCTGTAAACTCTGGCGGAAAATTCTGTTTATTTATCCACTTCTGAACTGCAGTCCTGTTCCAGAACTTGAGTGTTGCATATGCATCTGTTTGACAGATCTGACTAATTTGTATGCAGACTGTTGGTTCCTTGCCTCTCAGGCAGATGCAGTCTGACTTTGAAGAAAGCTCCCAGTTAGTCGACTCTTACGACATGCTTTTGGGTAGGCAGTGGGTCTATTCTTGTTTTCCCTATAACAGGGCCCCGGAACCAACACAGGGATTTCCCTTGATCTGTGTTCATCATAGTTCTTCAGCATGGCTGTCTGTAGCAGTTGGTACCAGGACATTTTTTTTTTTTTTTTTTGATGGCTAAACCATCTTATCAGCTTGGATATGCTGCTGAGAGATTTGGTTAGTTGAAATGAATGCTCAGTGCACACCCATGTTGTTGTTTTTTTTTTCTTTCAGTTATAATACTATTTACACATACACAGAAAAACGCATTGCTGCTGAAAGAAAAATAGTTTGATCATAATTTTTACATTCAGAATCTTTGTAATTTAAGGAGTGAAATTGTTGCAACCTGCAAATAGTACTACTTTAGGGTTCCAACAATGAACTGACAGTTCTTTTGCATCTTTGACATTGATAGTTTTTAGGCATACAGGCTTTCCTGCTAACTAATAAAACCATGCCATTGAATAACTGTGCGCTCTAACTACAAGGCAGAACTCTCAGCTCTATTGATGGCAGCACAGTATATGAACAATCTGCAAATCACCGCAGGCAGGATAGTTTTTCTCACTGACTCACTGTCAGCTGTACAGGCCCTTGAGTCCAAACCTACCGACAGCACACTACAAAGTCTAACACAGGAACTTGCTATGTTGTCAAATAAGGCAGAAATTCACTTGCAGTGGATTCCGTCTCACTGCGGCATCAAAGGCAATGAAAGCGCAGATGCTTTAGCCAAGGAAGGCAGTAACAAACTACAGACCTACCAGCCACTATCTTTTCCAGAAGTCAAAACTCTCATTAAGAGAAAATCAGAAACAGATTGGAAAAACAACACTGGTTATGACTACGGAAAAGATTTTCTGAGGCACTTGAACAGAACAGACCAAGTGACAGTTTTTCGCTTACGCACTGGACACTGCAGACTCAATAAACACTCATATAAATGAGGTATGAGCCAAACAGCTCTCTGCCAGTGTCTTCGTGCTGAACAGACTCCAGAACATGTCCTGCAAGACTGTCCTCTCCTGGCGGAGCTGCGGAGCGACATATGGCAACACCCAGTAGAACTGACAACTAAGCTTTGGGGAAACCTAAGAGACCTTGAAAAGACATCCCAGTTTATGACCCACAGTGGATTATGCGCATGACCAGAGATCGCTGAAGAAGAAGAAGAATAACTGTGCGTTTCATTCTTTTGAACATGGGATATTCAGGTCATTTGAGTCCTGAAAAGCGCTTGTTATTTTGGGTGAGGATGTTGTAAAGACTAACCTCCTAATGTGGTGCTAAAGTACAATGTCATGTTAAGTGTATTGCACAGCAAACCTTGGCCTCTTTAAGTGCAGAAACCACTGGGTTGTGCATTACAAGTTACTTAACTTCACATCTGCAGAGAACGTCAGAGCCTACTTTACTTTTAGAATATCACAAACTGGGCACGCAGTTACATTCAGCCCATCCAAAAACTCATAGCACTCATTTTTTACACAGCAATTGTATTTATCTGTAAATGTTAAATAAATGTAAGTGTAAATGTTCTGTTTATCAAACAGTCTACATAGTATGAATATTAGGCAAAAACACACCAGCATGAATGGTAAATGCATACATTGAAATACACTAACACACACACACATACAGACAGGGGAATGGTGATTAATGGAATGATCTAGCTAGCTTGCAACTTTTCCGCATCACAGAAATATCATCCAAGGCCTTGGCCTGTGTACATCCTGGTCCTAAGGCCCAAAGGAGTTTGAACACTCAACAGATTTGACCACATTGCAGTGAGTGGCATATGTTTGATTAGGTAACTAATGCTGTATACTTACCCTGACAGGCTCCACCGTATGCAGCAGCACAGTCTGTTCAAGGACTGCTTGGATTTCGACAGGGAAGCCCAGCATATCAGAAGTACATTCAGCTGAAGGAAAGACAGATTCGACTGCAGCAGGCCAGGTAGGATTCTTTATCATAGACTTTATATGTGTAACAATGTTGCTGGCCTATGCATTTATATTTATGTTTGGAGAGATTAATTTGTCTTCTTCTTTCTCCTCATCATCCTCTCTTTTCTTTTTCTCCTCCTTTTTTTCATTTGCTTTAAATTCGCTTAAACCCAGTTATGTTCTCGGATGAGACCAAAAGAAGAAGAAGACATTGCTGTGTTTTAACCAGAGAAGTAAAAAGAAGTAATATATATATATATATATATATATATATATATATATATATATATATATATATATATATATATATATATATATATATATATATATATGGGAGTCTCCGTGGGGGAGCGGCTAGGCGCTCGCCGCGGATTGGAAGGTCATGGGTTCGCTCCCTGCAGAGCCGGACTTTTTTTCAGAAATGATCTTGGCTCCCAAGTCGACCCATCCCTGAGTGGATACCAGGTGCAGTCCCTGGAAGTGAGGGCGATGCTGACCACATCACCCATCTTGTGCCTATCGTTCAATAAAATATAGGTCTAGCCCTATTGCCCTATGAGCCTAAAGGCGTGGAAAAGGGTCCTTTACTTTACTATATATGTATTTATTTATTTAAAAATATACCTTTTATCTGTATAATTGGTGGATGTGCTTCCCTATGAGTTCTGGGGCCCATTTGGGGGGGGGGGGGAAGAATAGACCCACCGCCCACCTAACAAGCATCTCATAAATGGTGACTTTCTTCAAAGTGGATTGCAGCTACCTGAGAAGCAAACAACTAACAGTCTGCATACAAATAATCCAGATCTGGAAAATGAATATGCATGTAAGACCAAAATCTAGAAGTGGACGTCTAACTGGAAGTTTCCATCAGAGGTTATAGCCAGTTAACAATAAGAAGAAGAGATGGTTTTGTATATTTTTATAGATATTGTTTAAAAGTAATATAAATGAGTGTTATTCTCTTAGTTGACTTTTACAAATGCAGAATTTGTTTGAATTGTCAGGCTGGGCCAGAATGCGACTGCGTTGAATGATGTGAGGAGCCAGCTAATGACTCCAACATTGCTGTCACAAGAGATGGTGGAGAACACCTCGGAGAAGCAGTCTATGGCATCTCTCATGTCTTTTACACTGGGTAGGCTCTGCTGTTTTGATTGTTGTTGAGAATAAATGTACTGAAATTCTTATCGTAGGCGTGTATAATGATAACGGTAAGCCTGTGAAAGAACAAAACCATAAGCAAGAGACAAACCCCAGAAGTGTTTGTTTAGCAGAATAAGTGAAACCACAAGTTAGATCATTACTCACCTGTGTGGGTTCCGGGGCCCTATTATAGGGAAAACAAGAATAGACCCACTGCCTACCCAAAAGCATGTCGTAAGAGTCGACTAATTAGGAGCTTCCTTGGAAGTCGGAGTTCATCTGCTTGAGAGGCAAGAAACCAACAGTCTGCACACAAATGTGTCAGATCTGTCAAACGGATTCACACGCAACACTCATCAGATTCTGGAACAGGATTGCAGTCCAGAAGTGGACGAACAACCAGAAATTTCTACCAGAGTTTACGGCTGGTTGACGCAAAGAAGAAAAAGATTATTACTGCTATTAAGGAGCAGAAACATGGAGAAAGATTTAAATTGTAACTAGCTACCTGCAAACATTCATTAATTGGTGCCTCACAGAATACTTGCTTTACTTAGTTGCTCATCTTCTACCTTGGGGTGTAGAGGTTTGACAGAGAGGTCACCAGACTTCTCTGTCAGTAGTTTTCCTTCTGGCTTGACTACACAGAATAGTGGGAATTAAATGGTATGGCAGGGCTAGAAATGTGGAGCTTTGGGGAAGAACTAAAATTTCTGTGAAATGAGGTGAGGAGAAGGTTCTTGTGCTGGATAGGTCACACATTGAGGAAAACTGAAAACACCTAGTATATCCTTAAACTGGAACCCACCAATTCAAAAAAATAAACAGAGACAAAGCTACTTGTAGAAGAGAATTAGAGACTAGATAGGGAGTGTATGGAGAGTGTGATGGCAGAGACAAGGATGACCTACTTTCAGTTTAGGGCCTATGCTCCATTGGAGGCTATAAATAAAGACGAAAAAGAGCAGTGAGGATAACCTTGAATGCAGCCGACACAGCTGGGTCTATTCACACATCATGATGATGATGATCATCGTCCTGTTTTGTGGTTATGCTTCCAGTGTATTCCTCCATTCTGTTCTATCGTGTACATTTGTTTAACTATCATGGGTGGGTATTTATCATGAACTTGCCCGCACGGCGAGTGTTCCTTCCTCCCCCATTTATGCCGTGGTTGGTTGCACGGCCTGTCCTATTTTGTGGGGGTGTCTATTCCTTATTTTCAACAGTTTAACTCTTCTCTCTTTTCTTATGTTGTCACCGCTTACTCGTAGGATTATTTCCATTTTGTGCTACGTGCCCGACGGTTTGTGAGTATCAGAACAGATTTAAAAAAAAATTTCTATGTTTCTTGTCAGTCACTTCATTTTCTTAAAGGAAGCCATCGCCAAAGAACATAGAAATGCAAAAACATCTTACTTTTGATACTCACGAACAGGCAGGCGCCTTCGGCGCTTTTCCCTGCAGTACTTCTTGCTTGTACACAGTTGCCTGCTGTGCCTCAAAGAGACTCACAATAACACATCCTCCCACAATACGATAACTGTTTGCTGTAAACATAGTTCTTGGTGTTTGCTAGTTATTATGTCACAAGTTCATCATTTATTCATGTATGTATGTATGTATCTGGTTGCTTCTAAATCTGTAGGCTCATACAAAGCCAGTCTACATGCACTGCAAGGCTCGAGTGCTGCACTCAATTATAGCAAAGATACAGACACCGATGTAGGCAGCCAGTTGTCATTGCTGCTCAGTAGTGGAGATTACGGGGATGTCTTGAGGTAAATGTTTAAGTGGGAGGGAGATGTGATGATGTCTTGAGGTAAATGTTTAAGTGGGAGGGAGATGTGATGATGTCTTGAGTTAAATGTTTAGGTGGGAGGGAGATGTGATGTTTTGAGGTAAATGTTTAGGTGGGAGGGAGATGTGGTGATGTCTTGAGGTAAATGTTTAGGTGGGAGGAAGATGTGGTGATGTCTTGAGGTAAATGTTTAAGTGGGAGGAAGATGTGGTGATGTCTTGAGGTAAATGTTTAAGTGGGAGGGAGATGTGGTGATGTCTTGAGGTAAATGTTTAAGTGGGAGGGAGATGTGATGAACAACCAGAACTTTCTGCCAGAGTTTGTAGCTGGTGACAGCGAAGAAAAATAAGAAGTTGAGGGAAGATTGTGAGGGTGTCTGAAGGTAAATGTTCAGGTCAAGGAGTGTGGTGATGTCTAAGGAGAGCATGAGGTGCATTAGGATAGGGAAGAATATGTTTGTGCCTGTGTGTGAATGTTTATTTGTGGGCAGGAGTGTGATGTTGACTTAAGGTTTGATGTCTTAGGGGAAGGAGGAAGAGTATGGTAAAGTCTCAAGGTAAATGTTTAGGTAGGGGAAGAAGTGTGGTGTTTTAAGATAAATGTTCAGATTCCTGTTCATTTGTTCTGTTTAATATTTAGGGCTGAAGAAATTCCAGCGATTTCTTCGATTCCTACAATCAGTGACGCCCTGTCTCATCCAGATCAACACAGGTTACGGTTAAAACGAAACCAGCATCAGCAACAACAGCCCCTACTTAAACAGATGCAGCCGGAGCGTGGTTCCAGACCACTGGAGGCACCAGCTGATGCTGCGACAGGCCCTGTTCGGAAACAAAAGGTTACAGGTTAAATCATCATTGTGGGTACTAGGGGTGGGGTGGGAAGGGTGGAATAGACCCACTGCCCCTCAAAAGACATGTCATTAAAGAAGAAACTATTTCAGAGTTTGCTGAAATCGTATGTGTTGAACTAAAAAATGCATATGTCATATCCTAGCTGTAAACCACATTACAACATGCTAATCACACTTTTATGGGTGAAAGTACAAGAAGTGAACAGTCAGTAAGCAGTTAGAACAAATACAGGAATGTCAGAAAAGTTTTACTTTAGATCTGGACCGAGACAAGGATTTGTTCTCTCACCACTACTGTTCATCACATACGTCAACCAATTTTGCAAATCAGCTAACATCTGTGAAGGGAACAACATCAGAGAATTATTAAGTACGACTACAAAAACATATTTATAGACTCCACTCAGAATGCGACAATAGAATCATAGTAAGATTTCATCAATCATTCCATTTACATCACCATTATATTTATAACCGCTCTTATTACAGGAAGTCATCTATAAGGCCGCTTTGGTCACACACAAATTATTTTCACAATTTTGGATCTATCCAAACCCCAAAACTGTTTTCATTACTTTTTGGCAAAGTAAAATACTCAAAATTTTAAAACTATAAATGGTGTTCCAAAAGAATGTTGTGTAGTACTTGCTCAGTTTCCTAGGAGATACGCCTGGACAAAATGGAAAGGAACAGAACTGGACACACAGTAGAGAACACACAGGCAAGATAACAAGGAGACAGAATCTGAAAGAGGGCGACCCAGGAGAGAAACATCTGCAAGATAAAGAGAAAAGAATCGTATGGGGACAAACAAAACAGGAAGGAGGGGTCTGCCTGAGAGGGCAGGGACCTTTAGCCAGAGAGCTTGCGCATATACCAGAACCTAAGCCATGAAAGTGGTGCAAATAAACCAGACCACAAATATAACCGGAGTCTGTTGGCGGCTTGCTGCCAACAGCAGGTTGAACGTGGTTGTGATAAAAAATTTTTGTAGAACAGAATTCAGTAATCCAGAAAACTATGACATGGAGATCAACGTAGACAAAACAGTAGTAACAGACCCAGAGGTCGACCACGCAGATCATAGACTGCGGATCAGACACTGAAAATTACTTTGTATGAAGCAAACAAAGGGGCCTGTTCCACAGATCTCTTCCTGCCCTGATGCAAGCTTTCCAGGAAAAGAAGAAGAAGAAGAACAAATCTTCATTGTGTGTTTGTGTGTGTGTGTGTGGTTTTGTGTTTTTGTTTGTGGTTTTGTTTATCAGGAAATTAGATAATCGTTGACAGCGTAGTAGTGCATTTAAAATATATTTCTGTACCTAATCAGAGTAGCTTGTCTGTATGATTATTATAATGATAATCGTCAGTCTTGCATAGTATACTTATAATAATAATCTTTAAACTTGCCAGGAGTTTGTTGGTCCTGAGTATGTCTACAGAAGCAGTAAACCTGCCATCAGAGTGGTCGTGTCTTTTCCAGGACAGGTGTGTTGTTTGTTTATTTGTTCATTCTCCCTTTTTTTTTGCTAGCCGTTTTTGTCACAATTTATATTTGTTCAGTATGATATTGCCCAGAATATGCAAAGGTTTGTACCCTAGTTCCCTGTGTGGGTTTATGGACCCCATTTGGTGGAGGGGGGAAGAGGGCAAGGGAATATTGGCGACACTGCCAACTGAACAAACATGTGATAAAAAGCGAGTTAATTAGCAGTTTTCTCAAATCAGATGTGTTGGGATTAAAGGTGCAGATATTGCAGCGTCACCATAAACCACAATACAATGTTCAAAATATCCTTTTAAGGGTGAATACAGAATAAGAATAGCCTAATGACAGCAGAGACCGTGGGACTACCATTTTGGTGCATGTTGAGAGAATCACTTTGACTTTAATAATCAAGAATAAAAAATGAAACAAAAAATAGTCCTAGTATATTTTTCTTTAGGCTAGACTTCTTTTGTTACAGTGAAAATACTGAAGTTTTTTTTTTAGTTGCAAACTTGAGCTGTGAACTGGTTAAATTTACTGTGCCAGTTTGGCTTGAACAGAAAACACCTATCCTAAAGTTGCATAGGGTAAGGAAATTTATGTTTGGAACATATATTTTAAAAATAAAATACATGCAGACAGCAAAGAGATCTGAAACCTGGGACTGTTAAGTAATAGTGGTGGACAAACTAGAAGGAAAAGGTTAATGTTATACAATATTTGTTCCCTGAAACAGTAAGAGTTGACTAATTGGGAGCTTCCTTTGCTGCCAGAGTGCATTTGCCAGAGAGGCAAGGAACAACCAGCTGCACACAAATAAGCCAGTAAAACAGATGTACACTCAAAACTCAGAACCCTGGCACAAAGCCAAAGTCCAAAGGGACAAACAATCTGCACTTTCCACAGGAGCTTACAGCCAGTGAGCAAAGAAGAAGAAGATAATTAATTGTGTAAAAGCATAACGTGAAATAGAAAACAGGTGGATTAAGGGAGCAAGGAGGACCAGGAAAAACCCTATGATGAGCATTGTTGACAGAGGTGGTGAAATGGAGTCTGTACACGATATTGACAGTACTGCACCTAATAGAATAGAGGAATATACTGCAAGAACTGTCTGGTGTATAAATAGTAGAACAGGAGGATGATGAGCTGTTAAATTGTGTATTAATTTCCTCCTTCCCCTTCTCCACCTCTTCCAGTTATTTCAGCAAAATGTTGGAGAAAGATGTAAAATTCATCTCTCCTATTTCTAATGTGTGGTTTGTTAGCCTTTATTTCTCTGAATTTGTTTTTGAATGCCATCATTGCATCCTTTGTGTGTTTTTCCTTTGCTCTATGTTCATTATATAACCACTTACCATCATTTCACATTCACTTGTGTTTTGTCATCTGTCATGTACATCCACTTGTGTTGAGATCACATTTCTGAGTCAGTAATGCTTATATTCTTTGCGTTTATATTATTTCCTAATACAGAATGCGAAGACTGCAACAGCTTTGAGGAAACTGACCATTGTCCATTTAACTGGTCAAAGGCTGGAGGTTGTTGTTGATCCCAGTGCTAGTGGACAGCAGCTGTTTGACACAATTGTTCCCTACTTGTATTTGGATGACTTCCACGCCTTTGGACTGACCTACATGTCAGGTGAGTGTTTATATACAGGTCAGGTGTGTGGTGATATGTTAGAATAGAGACGTGTGTGATGATATGTCAGAATAGAGACATGTGTGGTGATATGTCAGAACAGAGATGTGTGTAATGATATGTCAGAATAGAGAGATGTGTGGTGATATATCAAAATAGAGACGTGTCAGAATAGTGTTGCATGTGGTGAAATGTTAGAATAGAGACGTATGGTGATGGGTCAGAATAGAGACGTGTGTGGTGATATGTTAAAATAGAGGCATGTGTGGTGACATGTTAGAATAGACGTGAGTGGTGATTTGTCAAAATAGAGGTATGTATTGTGATGTGTCAGAACAGAGAAGCGTGTGGTGATATGTCAGAATAGGGGCTTGTGTGGTTATCTGTCATTATAGAGATGAATGTTCCCCATGTAGGTTCTGGGACTCCATTTTTAGAGGGAGAAAAAAAAGACACATCTGCTGCCCCCCAAAAAGCATGTTATAAAACAGTACTAATTAGGGATGTTTTCTTTGAAGTCAGAGTGCATTTGCCTGAGAGGCTAGAAACCAGTAGTTTGCATACTGATAAACCAGATCTGTAAAGCAAATGTGCACACAAAACTCAAGTTTTAGAACAAGACTAAAGTGCAGAAGCCACCCCTTCAAATGGGATCTCAGAACCCACACCCACTGGAAGGAGCTGCAGTAGTTGTCAGCTGTGCTGATATGCTAAGAGCGGGTATTAATCTGTAGCCAACTGGTCAAGCTGTTAGTCTTGCTCTCTGATGATCATGGGTTTGTATCAGTTCGGTTTACAATATAAATGTTTTAGTTTCAATCTAAAAGTAATTTAAAATTTAGTAAATTGGTAAGCTTGTTTGCTGTTATTGCAGAAAGTGAACATTTTTTCCTGGATTCTGATATCAAATTGCACAAGGCAGCACCAGAGGGATGGAAAGAAGGACCAAGAGGTCAGGCCATTCCTGTAACTTTTACATTATATGTCCGGATCAAGTTCTACCCAGACTCCCTCACAGATTTTTGGTAATTTCACACTTTTTGTTGTATAAAATGAAAGTAAAGTAAAGTAAAGATCCCTTATTACGCCTAAGGCGCATCAGGTATATGGGCAGAGCGTCCCATATTTTTACAGACCAATCGGCACTCGGTGGACGCCGGCCGTCTTTACTTCCCCAGGACAGCCATCCTGGTACCCATTTGAGGCTGGGTCGACCTGCGACGTCCCATACCACGATAAAAATCCACGTAGCCAGCAGTGGGTTTTGATCACGGTACGTTGGATTACGAGTCGGACTCACAACGCCTTAGCCACGGACGCCGCTATAAAATGAAAGATGCAGCTTTTTAAAAAAATGTGATTTTCACTTGTTTGTTTACTGCCTACATCATAAAGATATTTCTATATATGTTGATATTCTATTCTTTTATCAATTTGTTTTAAAAATGAGGTACTGTATGGTATAAATGTGCTTTCATATCCAGGGTTTAATCCTCAATATTTTTATCAGACCGCATTAGCTCTTGGGGTCATTCTAGTAGCCATAAGATTATTTTTAATTTGTTGTTGTTTTAATTTTGTAACACCATTGTTTCATCATCATCCTGCTGTGCCATCATATGTCAAGAAGACAGCGGTACCTTCTCCATGACAACAAGCAGCATGATGATGGAGCTGATGGTGGTAATGCAAGCATTCGTATGGCTAAGAACACAAGACTATACCCGTATGTGTGTACTCAGCAATTCCATGAGCATGATCCAAAAAAGTCCAGGCAGGTTCTATGCGAAGGCAATGGATTGAGCCATTACAGAAGTGCACTGTGTAACATCGTCTTTATCTTCGTTCCGTGTGTGTGGGTGTCGACGAAAATGAAAGGGCTGATAAGTTGGCAGGATCCGCCATAACTGCTGAAGGTCAATACAAGGATCATGCTGATATTGTTAATGCCCTCAGAGAAGTGGGAAGGGTGGAGGACTTTGGAGACAGCAATTGGGCATCGCTCACCAGAATGAAAGACTCAGGAGTTAAAATCGGCATAGCCAAAAGCGAGACACACCGGGCATACAGAAAGACTTATCAGTCAAGAAAGAACTGGCACTATTAGTATATCTGATATTGTTAATGCCCTCAGAGAAGTGGGAAGGGTGGAGGACTTTGGAGACAGCAATTGGGCATCGCTCACCAGAATGAAAGACTCAGGAGTTAAAATCGGCATAGCCAAAAGCGAGACACACTGGGCATACAGAAAGACTTACCAGTCAAGAAAGAACTGGCACTATTAGTCACAGGACGCTGGGGTTCATACTGAGAGAAGGACCTGAGCACCTATGGACATGTCGACAGTGCAATGATCATATCCCAACTAACTAACCAACTAACTAACTAACCAACCAACCAACCAACCAACTAACTAACTAACTAACTGACCATAAATTAACATCATCCAACCAATGTTGATTTGTCTGATCATTTTGGGTTAGCACCCTTCCCAACTCGAAAGTCATGGTAGCTCAGGGCTAAAATACTTGCATACTTGTTTTCCTGGCGGTTCTAGGTTCAGACCCTCATAAAAGCAGATTGTGAATGCAGGAGAAGAAGAAGATAAAAGCAGAGTTGTAAAATTTACATGGATTTTGAGTGTGGTTAGCCAAAAATGTCTTTAAAAGCACAATCTGAGTGCCAGTCAGTTTAAGAAAATCTATGGCTAACACCATTTGTCAGTTTAATGGAAGTGGATCCTTTACTGACTACACCTAAAGGCAGAGTTATTTAGCTAGTGACCCAGGGGCCAATTCTGGCCACGGAAACTTGCCAGTTGTATTGTATTTATGATCTTTCTATGCTGAGGATCAGACCTCTGGCCCTTGGTGATCCCCATTTTAGAAATGTTGAGCCCTGAGTAAACTCAGTTGAAAAGCCCGACCTTAAGGCATTGAAAAGAATCTGTAAATAAAAAAAATAAAATATAGTCTTGCCCTAGAATAGTGACTTGTGTTGACATGCTATAAAACAAAAAAACAGTTTACAAATAATGTCCCTTTATCCCTCAGCCACACAAGCAGCTATCACCTGCTATATCTGCAGTTGCGGAGAGACATTCTAGAGGAGAGGGTCACCTGCGATATGGAAACACTGGCCAGGTTGGCTGGCCTGGCCATGCAAGCAGAATATGGAGACCATGCTCGAGCTGCCTTGGACAACGAAATCTTTTCACTGGAGTACTATTTCTCCAGCCGCACTGTGAGACGGTTTGGAGCAGCCATCATGGAGAACAATGCCATGAGGGAGTACAGGAGTTGTGCAGGTATCCCAGCATCCCAGGCTGAGATAGAATTCATCAAGGTGATTTTTGTAGATAAAGATGGTGTAATTTTTAGTGGGTGGGTGGTCTGACTTTTATGCATGTAGCCCTTTATAGAGTGCGTTAGAAAGGACAATATCCTCTCGATTCTTGGGAACTCTACCAATAGAAACTAGAGAAAGAGAAAAAGCAAACCTATGAGTATCGAGCAGATGGGCAGACCTGCCAGCTACTTTGATATCTCAATTCCTAAAGTCACCGACTTTTGTTTGTTTGTTAATTGAGACATTTTCTAATGTTTTAATTGAGATTTAAAAATTGTATTATTAAAGACATTTTTAAAAAAAAAAAAAACGATACAGTATTCAGGAAGGGAAGTGATCAGTAAATAAAAATGGAGCAGAGACTTGGCTGAATTCATCCTCTTTGGTCAACAAAATATTTGTTTTGTTCACACTGCCATGTCACAACAGTGATATCACAATGACTAAAAAGAGCATAGAAATTTTTTCAGACCTTTTAATCTGTTAAATTCTATTTTTTAAAGTAAATATAATCATATCCGACCCCTTCTCACAGTCTGAAATAATAGCAAATATGTTTTATAAGCTCAACAGTGACTGACCAAAGCCATAAAGCTTGAAAATCCAGAGAAGCCACTAAACAAACAAACAAACATTTATGAGTCAGTAGGGTTAAACAAGTGAATGTTTAGATATAAAAATAATCAAATAATAACAGTAAAACATGTAAGTTCAAGTAACACTTGAGTTAACAAAGGGTTAGTGTAAAAATGAATGAAACACAAGGGTGGTTTGAAAACAACATGCGAGGTGTAACCAACAAACAGGGTGATCTTGTTGGTACTAAATGAGTTCACAGTTCCCTATGTAGATTCTGAGGTCTCTAATGTGTGTGTGTGTGGGGGGGGGGGGGGGGGGGGGGGGCCAGGGATAAACCCACTGCTCCCTAACGAGTATGTCATAAAAGTCAACTAATTAGGAATATTTATTTTTTTTAAGTTTGAGTGCATTTGCCAGAGGCGAGGAACCAACATTGTGCATAAAAATAAGCCAGATCTGTAAAAACAGATATGCCTGCGAAATACAGGTTCTGGATGAACCGGGAAGACTGAAATCCATTAGCTGACGAACAACCAGACTATTTCTCCAGAATTTACAGAAGAGTTAACAGTTTTGTTACAGGTAATCATGAAGCATAATGCATTTTCTTTGTTTAAAATTTCAGCACATGAGACATTTGCCTGAGTATGGGATTCATTTCTACAAGCTGTTCAAGGTAAGTTTTCCCCCAGCCTAATTAAAAACATAGAAATAAGATGTGACTATAGTAGGGGATTGTCTCAGAGACAGTCAACTAAAATACTTTGGCCGAATTCAATACCATGTTGATTTGGAGAGCACAGTATTTGAGGGTATGTCGCCTGGGGAGAAGAGGCAGGGGTCGACCGCTTAGCCGTGGACAAAGGATATTGAGGACACCATGTGCATAAACATTCACAAAGCAGTAGAGTTGGCAAATCTGCAAAGGATCTACTACATGCTGATGAACTAACATATGGATGGTGACTGAAGCTGGCTGCACTTGCAGGAAGGGCCCTACTGACATAATCAGACTCAAGGCAGTTGTGTCCATCTAGACAGTGTTCTTCAACCTGTTTACATCTGTGATCCACCAAACCAAGGTAAATTGTTTCATGGCCCACCTGGAAGCCACACAATAAAATTTTCAGCTATTGTGACATCTGTTGCTGCTTAGAGGTTAAAATATCTTATGTGTGTGGCTTGAGAATTTTTTCTGATAGATGAAGTGCAATAACAACTTTTTGATGTCTCTACTTGAAAGTTTTTGAGGTAGTAATCCCACAGACTGAAAGAAAAACACCATCTACCCTACCTCATTACATGATTAAGCAGAATTTTTTTTTTTGGCAGCCCGCCTGGACATTTTGCGGCCCACTTGTGGATGGCAGCATTTGGGTTGATGAACACTGATCTAGAGTAGGGCAGTGAACAGATGGAACAGTAGTAGAAAGGATAGTTGAGTGAATGACTTGCCAGTTTTCTAGATAGATAAATGTAGAAGTCTTGAAAATGGATGTGCATGCAAAACTCTAGTTCTGGAACAAGGCTTATTTTCCTAAAGGGGACGAACAACTGGAACTTTTCACCTGAGTTTTCAGCCGAGGAATTCTATAGATGCATTTGAGAAATATTGCTGTTAGGGTTCACTATTGTAGCTTAGCTTGCTCTCGTACATGGACTTAAATAACACCTAGTGAAAGTAGTCCCAAAGCAGATATATTGCTGTTGGGATGTGAAATGTTAGGCCTTCACATTTTCTAGCCACAGCAGATGAAGTATGATGATCAGTTCTTTTCCCTATCACATTCTATCCCCAGAACTGAGCCCTCCTCATTTATGAAGAATGGTAGACCTGGAGAGACATACTGCTTGGAAGAAATCTTGTCATTTCTGGGGGTTTGATCCTGGGCTACTTTCTCAGCAGTCAAGCACACTAACCAATAGGCCACCTTGGCTCCTTGTACATGGATACAGTTAAAAGTAACAGCAGGGATAAAACACATCATAATGGAAATTTCAACCTTAGATTCTTTAGAAGTCTTCTTTTTCTTCATACCCACGGGCTCACTTGAACAGAACAGACCAAGTCACAGTTTTTCGCTTATGCACTGGACACTGCAGACTCAATAAACACTCACATAAATTAGGTATGAGCCAAACAGCTCTCTTCCGGTGCCTTCGTGCTGAACAGACTCCAGAACATGTCCTGCAAGACTGTCCTCTCCTGGCGGAGCTGCGGAGCGACATATGACAACACCCAGTAGAACTGACAACTAAGCTTTGGGGAAACTTAAGAGACCTTGAAAAGACATCCCAGTTTATGACCCACAGTGGATTATGCGCATGACCAGAGATCGCTGAAGAAGAAGAAGATACCCACGGGCTGTAAACTCTCATAGAAAGTTCTGGCTGTTCATCGCTTCTTAACTTTGCTCTTGTTGCAGAATCTGTGTAATGCATGCACATCCGTTTCCCAGATCTGGCTTATTTAAATGCAGACTGTTGGTTCCTTGCGGCACAGGCTGGAACACTCAAACTTCGAAGGAAATATCTATAATGAATAGACCCTTACGACATGCCTGTTGGGTGGGGGGGCAGAGGGTCTGTTATTTTTTCCCATCACAGTAAGGCCCCAGAATCCACAAGGGGAAGTTTTTAGAAGTGAACAGGATATTCAGTGTAGTGTGTGTAGTCACAGTCAAGTTTCCTTTTCACTGCAAAAGGGTCATCCAGTAATTGCTCAGTTTCTGTATCAGTGAAAGTCACACAAAATGCCCTTCACTGTCCTATCAGGGGGCATAATTTTTGGTATGGGGGGTGTAAGATATGATTGGAGCAAACATTGACAATGAAAATGTTTGTTGATATTTCACAGACTAAATCTAGCACAGACTCATACATGTGGGTGGGTCTGTGCCAGCACAGCCTGGTCTTGGCACAGCCGGAGTCCTATGGGAGAAGCATTGTCCAGGACTTCCCCTGGAACTCAATACTGAAAATTTCTTTTAATAAAAGGCGCTTCAGCATTCAACCCAAGGTGGAAATCTCCAGAGGAAAGCCTCCCAAGATTAATTTCTACACAAGTTCCTACAGAAAGTAAGTTTGCAGATTGCTGTCATTATCTTCATCTTCTTCCTCTTCAGCATTCCGGGATCTCGATGTTCATTGCTGCAGATATCACCCACCTCCATTTGTCTCTGTGATTAATCCTCTCTTCTGAGTTATTGACTAAAGATGTTCGCAGTTCTGCCTGTATATTATCACTCCACCATCTTCTTGGTCTGCTTTGTGGTCAGATGGGGAAACATTGTTTTGAGTAACCATATTAATTAATTTAATTACAAGTTTTTAACGGTAGTAAAGTGGCGAATTATTATCACTTTCATGTGTCATAGCAAGAGGTACAGTGATCATCTTTCTACAAAACCGTGTGCATTTATTTCTAAACAAGTTCATGCAAAAATAAGTTTGCAGATTACTGTCGTGATCATTGCTTAGGATAAGAGGCGCAGGTGATCATACTTCTCCATAACCATTATGTACAGTGCAGACCTCATAAGGAGAACTCACTGAGAACCTAAGAAATTGTTATTATAAGATATTCCTCTTATCCAGGTAAGGATTAAAGCAATAAAAATGGCCAGGTATAAGCGCATTGTTCTTCACAACAGAAATGTACAGCATCTTAAACGACCTGTTCTGTAGTAATATCTACACAAGTTAATACAGAAAGTAAATTGGTGCTATCATTCTGAAGCATGGCTAGAGACATAGGTGATCATTTTTCTCCATAATCATGTTTTCTTCTTCCTCTTCATCTTTGTTCCACTGTTGTCTGTTAAGTGGATTAATAATTAATAATTTATGTAGCTAAGAGATCAGTGTATCAACATTTTGCTTCTCCGTTACTCTTTCTACAACATGAGCAAGTGCATGCTAGAAATATTTTAAGTTAGTTGCGTATTTTCAGGAGGTCTAAAGTGCAGGCTACTAGTCCAATAGGGGCTTATTGTTGAAAAGTCCAAACTTGAATGGATATTTAAGAGACCGGCTCCCAGATCAGAGGTTATTGCTAGGGGTGATGTCTCAGTTTATAATTAATGTGCAGTCACTGGACAACAATCATATATGACATGTGTTTCCAAGATATTGATGATGACTCAGAAATATAACACAAACAAAGTTCGTATCTTCGATTCAACCTTTATTCATTTACTTTTACCATCATATTACAAAACTGTGTTTATAAGACAAACTGTCAATTAAGCTGAATAGCAGGGATGCAAGGTTGGGCCGAACCTGTGCTATTCAAAAATTCTTGCTCCTCGCACTGGCCGCTATGTCCACTCAGAGGGGACTCATCCTTTCTTGCCAACATCAGATCAAGGCTACTTTTTCCGGGGTGAACGCATCCTTTTGTCACTGAGTGTTGGCTCAAAGCTTCTTGTCTATTCCCTGCCGTATCAGACGTTAGAAAATAGCTACTCTCTTCCCCACCCATAGGTGTTCTCTCTTCTTAGCCTACCTTAGGGTCCTATGGCTTTTTGTGTCCACCTCACATTGCTCTTCGCTTAGGTTACGTCTTCGTTTAGGCTACACTGCTTCCTCCTGAACCAACCATGCTGGTCTTAAGAGCCTGGTCAAAGTCTGTGGCCTCACAATTGGCCTGTATCACGCTAGACTTGTTTATAGAAATATCGGTTCAACACTAGTGTCACTTGCACACACTAGTCTATTCTTAGTTTATACTAATCTCATCTAGATTAGTGGAAAAAAAATGGATAATACTTGAACTGTCTTATGTTAGCATTAAACTGAGGAATGTCACTTAAGCTAAGTCATCGGGAAATAATTTTTTATCATTTATTATAACTGAAACATAGAAAACAAATTTAGGAGCTCGAATAGTGACCATCCACAAACTCTCGAAGATGAACCAAAGAAGAACCTCTAAAAGTCTTGGTCAGGTCCTAATATAACTGGCCAACAGTGGGGGCTGTGCATGGGAGTCATGCACACTTTCTCCTTGCTGCACGGGGTCCACAGTTTGTCCACCCTCACAAATTGTAGCTGTTAGTGGAATTTGGGGTATAGTCTGTTTCAGCTAAGCTAAACTTCTAATCTAGACTAACTATAGTCTGTTTCTGACATGACTGACTGTGGCATATGCCACGTATCCTTTACAGGATGTTGCAGAACAAACCATAGCATTTATTGGCTGTTTATGATTTCACTAGGTAACTTTACGTTTAGTCATTTGCCATTGTTTTCAACGCTCAGCTCCCGAAACCACTGTTGATGCCAGCTCAGTGTGGTCTGCTGCCAAATCGCCTGCAGCTGGGATCAAACCCGGCACCACAGAAATATGGAGAAGATTTTAGGTAGTTTATCAGTTTTAGATTTTGCCAGGGTAATTTCAGATCACAATGCGAAGAAATCGCCAAAATTAGTTTCATTTCTTTTCTTCTGTAGGGGCAGTTATCTGCTTCAGTTCTCCACAGATCAGCACAGATTTCAGATCAGAATGAGAACCCGGCCTAGCAACATGGAGACACTTTCGGGTAGGTGGTTGTGAGACAAGTTACCCACTTTGTCACCTGTGAACCAATCCTCAGCTGGCAGAAGAACAGATGGGATTTAGGAGAAATAGAAGCTGCACAGATGCAATCTTCACACTTAAACAGTTAATAGAAAAGAACATTGAATACAATAAGAACTTATTTGTGGCATTCGTAGACCAGGAGAAGGCATTTGACAGAGTCGACAGACAATTAATATGGAAAATAATGGCAAGATATGGAGTAAGCGAACACCTCATCGAAGTGTGCAAAAGTTTATACAGGGATTGTAGAAGTGTAGTTAGAATAAATCAGGGAACATCTCATCCTTTCACAGTGACATCTGGAGTAAGACAGGGGTGTGTCTTATCACCACTGCTGTTTATCACCTTCATCGACAGTATATGCAAGAATGCCAAGCCCATGAATGAAGATCTTAGTAAGATCAACGAATTACTCTTTGCAGATGACCAGGCCTTGATAGCAGATACAGCCATGAAATTGCAACAATATCTAACATCCATGAATGAAGAATGTAAAACAAATAATATGAGAATCAACACTGAAAAGACAGAAGTAATGTCAATAGGAAAAAAGAAGACCGATCTAAACATAGCAATAGACTACAAAGGCATTAAACAGGCATCTGAGTTTAAATATCTGGGAACTACATTTACCGAAGATGGGAAATTGGATAAAGAAATTGACATTAGATGCAGTAAAGCAAACCAAGTATTGGGACAGCTAGCCCCCCTCTTACAGCATAAGACAATCCCAATCAGCACAAAGAGACATCTTATTCAAAGTATATTTATTCCAACTCTGTGCTACCAGTGCCAGACATGGTCACTCACAACAAACCATAAAAGAAAATTAGTAACCACGGAAATGAGATGTCTGAGAAGGGCTGTAGGAGTGACCATAAGAGATAAGATTAGGAATGAGATCATAAGAGAACAAGTCGGCACAGAACCAATTCTGGATTACATACAAAGACAGCAAGTGAAATGGTTTGCCCACTTAGAGAGAATGCCTTGTGACACCATACCATACAAAGCATACATGGAAAGAGAAGAAGGACGTAGAGCACAGGGTAGACCAAGAACAAGATGGAAGGATAACATCAGAGAAACTCTACAACAGCACGATGTGCCTATGGTCAAGGCAGCCAGAAGAGCTAGGAACAGAACCTTATATCTCCCTCGACACCCACAGCGGTAAAAGAGGAAGTGAAGAAGAAGAAGAAGAAGAACCAATCCTCACATCATTAATGATTTTACATTCATCATACTTATAATCAAATGCCTTTTTGTGTGGATGATCACGCCTCTCCACAACCTGCTATCTGCAACAACATGTATCAGTTCATGTGCTGATTCCCTCTCCCGCTCCCCGCCCCCTCCCATGCCATGACAAAAGGCTGTCAAGCATCTTCTTGTGTTACCCTCCTCTATCCCTGTTTCCTCAGATATTTCTGATTCAGCAGAGTGAAATTTAAAATGTTTATTTATTATGTAATGTTGTGTTAGATTATTGAATAATGCCATATTAGATTTAGTTTGTTTTTACTTCCATAGATGTGTTAGTGATAAGAAAACTTCTCTTGCCTATTGTATCTTAGTTTAAAATTCTGTTTCCTCAACTTTGTCTACATTGCTAGTGACAAATATATTTTTCTGACTCTTTTGGGAGTTGCGCTATTGCAGTGGCTAAATGCTTACCTGCCAGCTCAAAGGTCCTGTATTTGAATCTGCGGCAGGATAATTTTTTGAATAATTGACCTTGGCTCCCATGTCGATCCAGCCTAAAACAAGTACAAGACAATATTCTAGGAAGTAAAGGTGGCCTGTGTGATGACTACAACAGCTTTCAAGTGCCAGTTGATCTTTAAAAACATTGAGTCTAGCATCATATGCCCATTGTGACACTGGTGTAAAAAGGACTCTTCACTTACTGATTAACCCTTTAATTGACTGTTGTTATCTCTGTCCTGCAGGAGAGTTAGAGCGGGTTCCCACTGTGGATGCCGGTGTGGGAGATGCTGAAATTGGAGAGGATGTGGACCCGAGTCAACAGGTTGGTTATCTTGTTTACAAAAGTCAGTAGGTCATAGTGGTGATGCAGAGCTGGAAATTGCCTATGCAAATGATGGGCTAGATGGAACATCTGAAGCAGTGATAGCAGCATCTACGTAAGACACATCAAAACTTGCACCTGTTGCCTCTTCAAAACTGGACGCTGAAAGGCAGAACAGGGCCTGGAGAAGATCAGAAAAAAGACTGCTGATTATTACTTGTGTATTTTTATGTTTGATCCATGTTGATACCTATAGGGCACAGCCTATAATGAGTGGGAGGCTCAGTATATGAATCTGAGGTTCAGTCATGTTCAGGACGTGACGTTTCACTGGATGAGCCTAGTACCAGAGGGCCATGTATCAGATCTGCATATATTCTGGGCCATGACATAACGAGATGGGATGATCAGTCCTTTTTCTGTCCTTGCCACCCCTCCTCCTCAAACAACACCTAAAACTGTATTAATGTAAAACACAGATCTTATAAAGTTAGTTGTGAATCATTTACAGTTGTTGCAAAACCAACCCCAGCATTTTTTGGCAGTTTGATTTTACTAGGCAAGTTTAAGGTCAGTAGTTTGCCATTGTTTGCTGAATGATCTGCTGCTAAATCGCTTACAGTTGCAGTTGAACTGAGTACCTCGGAATTACGAATCACATTTGCAGTGCCTGAGCCACAGATGCAAACATAGATATAATGGAAACATTAAAAAACATAACCAGCAAGAAAATGAATCAGAGAAAGAGTGAACATTTTAACCGCCATTTCTGGCTTATCTTTACTTAGCTCACTGAGTTCTAAGAGTTAAAGTAAGTCCTGGTACTGCTGTAGATTGTTTTAACATATTTGGAATATGGTATCCTTTCGTCCTTTAACTCAGGCACTGCCTGACTCAGAGACTGAAGACGATGGCACGCATGCCTGGAATGGAAAGTCTTCTTCCACAGCAAGGCATCCTCCGCTGTTTAGGAGGTAAGAACAAAGGAATTAAAAACCTAAAAGTTTTCCACTCTAGACTGTTTCTTTAGCTATTGATCTAGTTCTGTTCCTGCATTTCTTGTTGCTGCTGTGTGCATTTGCAGACTTTAATTAGTTTCGGTAGCAAGAATTGAAAAGACAAAGATTTATCCTGGAAGCTTGAGCAGTTTTTCAACAAACAGTGATATAAGCAACATCAAAATTATCATAATATCAGATGACATAGAGCAATGGTTCCTGGTGGTTCATGGACCCCCAGAAAGAAAAAAAAACCTCATCCCATTTTGTTGCGATTATAATATGAATTTATTCTTTTTTGAGAAGAAAAAAAATTACTCTTTAAAAAGTAAGGGTCTGTGTAAAGCCTTAAAAAATACTGGTTTGTTAGACATAATAAATTTCTAGCCGCCGACACCACGGCGACACCCACACGATATCTTTTTATGGTTATTCTTTATATTGAGCTGTTGTAGAATTTCTTATGTTGTCTTTCTTTCCATCCCTCATGTTCTTCTTTTCCTTCTGCACCTCTTCTTTTTTGTTTACCTTCAAAAGTGTGGTAGGCACACTGTGTTGTGGTTTACAGCTAACTGCCATATCTATGCATTTTTGCCTGATGTATCCAGTTTCAGCAATTAGTTGCCTTGTACGACATGCTTGTCAAGGGGCTGTGGGTCGATTCTTCTCTGGTCCCCCCTAAACCGGGTCCTGAAATCCACGCAGGGAGTTTCAGTACAAGAAACTCTTTCTATTTTCCTGAAGAACTTCACTTTTACCTCAAAGCATTTTAGCCCTGTAGTCACCCCATACAGTAGTGTTTTTTTTTTTTTTAATTTTAAGTTTCTGTTATAATTTTCTTCTTCTTCTTTTTCTTCTGATCTTTATTCCCAAGTGAAGATTAGGTCTTGATATTTGCTTGTACATGGTGTATATGTTAAATGTATTCTTCTTATTCTTCTTTTCCTCTCTTGCCTGGTCTAGAACCGACATTGGTAATCACAACTTTCAAACCCATCTGATTTTTGTTAAACCCTTCATAATTTGAATTCTTTTGAAATCTTGACATTAATGTGATATAAAACAACAGAATAGGAGGAAAACCCATCATAGTGTAAAAACCCCAAGCTCAGTCTTTTTAAATTTAAATTTAACACCACATTAAATTAAAGACACATTCTTTTAATTATGAAGCATGCTTTCGAAACATTATGATATTTATTGCAAATAGCAGCGGTACATTTTATGCATGTATTGATTATCCGTTGTTTTGTTAACAGTGTTATTTGTAGTAAATATTCCTTTTGTTGTTTTTGTTTTGTTGCATGTGGCATGTTAGACAGTTGATGTACCTACTGCCATTTTAACTCTGAATTTTTTTTTAATTTAGTCAGCATTTATGGAGATTGTTCCTGTGTTTGTGTTGATCCAGCAGTAAGTGAAATGAATGCTGACTGACATTGTTAATAGGTAGCAGGAGAAATGAATTCACATCTTTTAAACCCTTTCAGTATTAAAGTTTGAGTTAAGGACTTCATTCATCCAAGTTTTTTCCCAGCAGATTTGGCAACCCATCAGAAGGGTCGCCCAAAGCACAAACTCCTTGGCTGCAGTGAGGATTCCCAGGGTTCACTATAGCAACTGCACTTGTGATCTGAAATGAACCTGTGACTTTCAGAGCAGGATGCAGACAGCTTGATCACTTCATTACGAAGATGACCCCCTTTCAGTACTAGAGAACTGATACATTAATTGATTATCTTTAAAAGCTGTGCATTTGGTGGGGGGGGGGGGGGGGTGGGTCTTTCTGTTCTTCTCTTCTATAATATTAACTCATTATGTTTCAATAGTTACTATAACTTCTTTTATCCCAAAAGTGTATTTTTGTGAGACCCATAAGACTAAAACTGTGTTGCTGTAAGATACAACAACTGTAGGATAGATAGTGTTGTGACAGAAAAAAGATAATTGGCACATATCTGCTTCTTCCGCCTTTACCCTTAAAAGAGTGGGTGGCAGGTTGTGTTGTGGTGTTCAGCTAGGCTGCGATATATGTGCCTTTCGGTCCAACACAGCTGATTGAAACAAACATTCAGTTAGTTGCCTTTTACTATATGCTTGTGAAGTGTTGCCCCCAATGTTTCATTAGGGTCCTGGAACCACAATGGGTGGCACATGTACAAGTAGAGAAAAGAAATGTAGATAAAAACAGTTGATATTTCTGTAACTAGGCAGTAGCACAGGCAGAATAAATAAATATTGGAAACTAATTTATCGTGCCATTCTAAAGATGCCTCAGATGATTCTTTTATATGTGTACGGCTGTGACATCATTAGTTTCATAAATTGTGCTCTTTATTGATTCGGTCTTCATGGCGAAGTGGTAAAACTGTTTGCCTCACAGTCTGAAGGTCATAGGTTTATTGTTGGTCTGCTTAGTTCAGTTTGTCGTCTTCTCTGGCTTTGGCATTGTGAACACACTTCCTAATTCTGAGGTGCCAGGTTCAGCTCCAGCTGTGGGCAGTTTGGTAGCAGACTGCCTTGCGTTGGTTTTGACTTTTCAGAAAGCAGTGGCAAACTACTGAATTTAAACATTGCCTAGTGAAATCCAAAACTGACAAAAAATGCTAGGGTGGGTATAGAGTACATCATCTGTCGAGTGCCTTCTTCATCTTCTCCTTTAGTCCTGTTCTGACTTTCAGTATCAGGTTTTAAAGAGCCATTTGGAGAGCCCATTAATTAAAAAAAAAAAAAAATAACAAAAGTCTAGCGCCACTGCCCTATAAATCTTTTATTTAAACTAATTTTTTTTTTTTTTTGTTTTTTTAATGTTTTCTTACTTTGTTAAGATTTCATCATAAAGTAGTTAAAGCCTGTTCATGAAAAACTATTGCGAGAAGTTTGTTAATAATGATTTGTCTATTTTCTTATCTGGATGTGAAAGTTGGACTCTCACTGTGGAAATGGAAAGGAGGATTCAGGCTTTCGAATGTAAATGCAATAGACACATTTTAAGGATTAGTAATTTAGAACACAGAACTAATAAATATGTCAGAGACAAAATATACAAATTTTCAGGACATCAGGAGCCTCTCTTTGGCAGTGGTGAAACGTCGCAAGCTAGCTTGGTTTGTGCACGTGGTGAGACATGATTCGATTGCAAAGACTGTACTTCAAGAAACATTGCGGAGTAGTCGAAGAAGAGGAGGGCAAAGTAGAACTGGAATGACAACACCAGGAAATGGACAGGACTAAGTTATCATACACTTATTCATCAAGCGAAGACAGAGAAAGCGGGTTTTATGTACTATTGCTTCCATCATTACACCTCCACGACCCTAATGGGTCAAGGATTATGATATTTTATGTTAATGATTTTTCAGAAAGCATATATTTTCAATAAAAATGTGGCTTTATACTAGGACATTTTTTGTTCAGCAAGCATGGCCCAGAAAAACAAGTCTGAGAATGACTTTTATAACAGAACGTTTAGAGTTAGATTTGTTTTCATAGTAAATTTTTGTCTGTTATTGTTGCTTGCTTGTTTGTATCTTAGCATGTTATTCTTGAAAATATTTCTGTCCAGCAACAGCCACTGTTTTGTTTTATTGCCTTTTCTATTTTGAATGACTAACTGTTGAGCATATCGTAATGTGTTCTATGTCTAGACCACCTCCCTATCAACCCCCTCGCATGAATCACCTTCTAGGGAATCTGCATATGCTGCCTGACCCAGACTTGACCCACCTGCATGCTCTAATGCCGGACCTGGCGAACATTGTCCTCGATGAGAACCAGCTAAAGATGTTGTTAGGTAGTAGAATAAATTAACTGTTTTGCAGTAATGAGTTCAGTTAATTTTGCATGATGTTGTATTGTTTGCTTTTGTATATATTGTCATTTATAATTTAAGAGATGTGGCAGAGGTGGGGTTTTATAGATGAATGATAAGAACACACTGCACAGATAAAAATAGTAGTGACGATATCTTGAAACAAATTGACTCACAAAGAGAATCTATTGCCCACATCATAAGGAGACAATCTATATTCTTTGGTCGTGTTGTGAGAAGAAGAAAACAACCGTACATCATAACGGTAGGACAGTTGGAGGGGAAAAGAAGCAGAGGGAGACCGAGAGAGAAGATGCTGGACAGTTTGTCATTGTGGTTCATCTGTGTCAGAATTTATTAAAAGTGCCTGAGACAGAAGGTTGTGTATAGATATGATTACCAATGCCACAAAGCATGGACTATAAGAAGAAGATATGCTAAGGCTGCGTTTGATTCTACCAGATCTTAATATACCAGGGGATGTTAATAAGTAAGTCAGAGATGGTAATGGAATGGCAAAAAAATGTAGTTGGTGTTTTTAAAGGTGTCATTAGGTGACAGCAATATCGAACTTTGTGGCTCCGTTCGTTAGGTGGCGCTAGGTGTTGCATGCGCATTCGCAACATAGAAACAAAATGTGACACTTTCAGAGTGTACCCTCAAAGAACAATGTGCTTGTTTTTTTTGTTTTTTTTTGTACAAAAGGGCTGCCTGCAAAGGATATTCATAAGGAAGTGAGTGCTTCCTGTTTTTGCTTACAAATGTTTATACCATAAAGTGGTGCACTGAAAACCCACCTTGGCGGGAGACATTTTGCGAATGACATAGAAGTTGAAATTATTTTACAGACAACCTGACAGCGGAAAGAAAATATAGATTGTAGTTTATTTGCTAACTCTGATGTCACAAAATTGCAATTTTCAATTCATGTGACATCTGCTAAGAGGTTGCAAAATCTACACAGCATTGTAGTACAGGAATCATATAGCCGCTACACGATTGGGCAGAAATAGTTGGCAGACCACCAGGATATTTCAACATACCACCATTTGTCTATAGACTTACCCGGATAATAATGATTTTATGGACTTAAAAAAAAAATGTTATAAAGGTGCACTGTTTCGTCTTCATCACAAAAATGAGAAATGGGGATCGGCTGTTAAAATTTTATAAGAACAAAATCTTTAAAAAGAAAACAAAAAAGAACACCCAAGAACAACTTCAGCACTCAGATGTTTTTAGACCTTGAGGTTAATGTTTCTGTTGATTAAAACAACAGGGAACGTTGGAGTATCATGATCAGAGGAATTGCTGATGTTATAAGGATGCTGATAATTTTGAGAATCAGGGTTTGTCTGTAAGGTTTGTTTAATTTAAACAATCCTGCTACTTCTGGGAAAACTGTTTGTTGGATAGTGGTCATCGTTTGTGTTGTTGTTGATATGTATTTAATCTTAATATAGTTTATATGTAGTTGTTTGGTAAATCAAAATGAGACGACTATATTTCTTCTGGATGTCTGCTAGTGGATATGATGCCTAATTTTCTCAGATATGGAGAAAACAGTGTCACTCCTCAGCAGTATGATATTGTGAAGAGTAGGTTTTAATTTGCGGCTTTCTTCTCATTGGGCACATAAACTCATAGCAAGTCATGATTGGACTAAATTATATCAGAAAAGCGACCCACAATAAAGTATTTATCCCATGTAAATCTCTTACAGGAAATGCACAGAAAAACCAAGACATCAATTTTCTAAGAATAAGTTTATTGATAGTCACAAAGCTAGCCATATGTTGTTGTGACATGCTAAAAAAGAAACTTCATATCATCCCTTTCTTATAAAACTAAAATTCACACAGTTCATAAAGAACATGAATTTTTCTGCAGACTCCAAACCCTTTAAAATTCCCTATTTTTTTTTAATGAGCTTTCGTAAGATTGTAAATTGTGTCAGCATGTTCTGTAACTCTCTACAGACATGAGTTCCAGGTCTTCAAGCCAGGATTCTGTACTAATCAGTAGCGACAAGTCATCTGAAGGTATGCATTATTTCCCTTGCCACAAGTCTGACGTCTGACTTATGATACAACCTTTATACAGTTAAATAGTGCTTTCACCTTATGATAGACATTTGTACAGTTATAATAGGACTTTTGTCTTTTGATATAACTTTTGTTGTTGTAATGGGACTTTCATTATATTATACAAGGTCAGATAGTTAAGTAATGAGACTGATTTTATTATGGCCAAGACAAAAATGTCATCTATGAAGCAAAGCATGGAATCTAAAGAGGCAACATTTATCTATGATCTGGTAACTTTTCATCGCCGCTCCATAAACAGACAACAAGCAAGCCGCCATTTTGTTGACCTAGTCAGAGGTGCATTGTTGCGTAATTGGCATGTAGCAAAAAGCTAACTTTAAATTCTTTTTAAAACTCAGGGGGAAGGGGGAAAAAAAATGCCATTGAAACAGTTGAATTGATGCAACCAGTTTATGGGGATAATTGTTTATCTCGTGCACACATTTTCAGGTGGTATTCACACTTGAAAAGCGGCGTGGACATGATTACTAAATGCACTTAGACCTGGACGCCAAATTGTGATTATAATGATGAACTCATTGCAAAAGTCAGAGAACAGATGCAAGAAGATTATTGTTTTACTGTGGGGATGATGGCAGATAAATCTGGTGTTAATAGAGAGACCATTCATAACATTTTGGTGCAAGATTTTGGCAAGAAAAAGGTTGGTTGCCGGTTTCTATCCCATTCGTTGTCTGATGACCAAAAACATCAGCGAGTACCCAAGAGACATCATTAAAACAAGAATTGTTGGCCTAAAAAGAGTGTGTTCTCGGCCTTCCACCCTATTCCCAAGATTTGTCTCCCTGTGATTATTTTCTATTCCCAAAATTAAAGTTATGATTGAAAGGGCGCTTCCTGTAATAATACTGATGACATCCAAAGGGCCGTAACATCGACTTTAAGGGCCATAACAACATAAAAACTACAGAGGTCGTTCCAGTGTTTGTTAGATCGTGCCACTTGCTGTATCAATGCACAAGGGGCTTGCTTTGAATCAGATACAGGATATATCTTTAACTGTTGATTATTCAAATTTTAATGGAATTAGACTCATTACTTAATTGTCGGACCTTGTAGGACCTTAGTACAGTTACAATAGGAATGGTAGGACTTTTGTACAAATATAATAAGATTAGCATCTTAGGATAAGACTTTCATACACTTGCCTATTAATTTGTAGTTAATTGTTGTTAATAGTAACAGAAAGTGTTAGTTTTACATGTGTACTATTGTAATATGCCTGTGAGGTGGATGAGGAGAGGAACAAGTTAGCTCACCTTATGTGAGTGAATACATAGAGATAAAAAGATCTTATTTGTAAAGACAATGCTGGCACATGCAGCCACGATTAAAACTGTAAATTTGGGCTCCAACTCAACATACAACACAGCCATTTCTAATATTTTTGAGTTACGACCCTTGCCGGTCTTATTATCACTTGCATGTCTGAGTGTTGCTGGCTGTTCACACATGTTTCAGCTTATCAGACATGTTGATTTTTGTTTTCCACCTCTTGCTCTCTTGCCCTCAGCCTTTCCCATCAGTGTGGTTTTTAAAAAAGGGTTGTATCTTTTAATGATTCTAAAATATTTCAATTGGCATATTCTAGGTCATGATATAGGTGGGTGTGGCCAGAACTTATTCCCAACACATTATCTATTTACAATTCTTCTTCAGTAGCCGCTAAAAATCGTAGGTTGGCATGTTGTATTGTGGTTCACAGCTAGGATTCAATATCTGCACCTTTTGGCCAACACATCCAATTAAAAAAAAAAACAACTCATAATTAGTTGCCTTTTATCAAAACATACTGTAACCCTTGACCCGTTAGGGTCGTAGAGGTAAATCAATATAAGCACTTAACACGCAAAACCTGCCGTCTTTCTCTGTTTTCCGCATTATAAACAAGTGTATGATAACTTAGTCCATAACTGTCCATTTCTTGATGCATGACATTAGAGTGGACCGAGTAGGGATGTTTCCTTTGAAGTTGGAGTACATCTGCCTGAGAGGCAAGGAACCAGTAGTCTGCATACAAATAAGCCAGGTCTGTAAAAATGGATGTGCATGTGAAACAAAAGTTCTGCAACAAGATTAAAATTCCAGAAGGGAATGAACAACCAGAACTTTCCACCTGAGTTTACAGCCAGTGAACGTAAAAAAGAATAATAATTTGTAATTGTTAATGTCATTGTTTTTCTTAAAGATGTGCCTTTTAAAATATCAAAACTCTTTTCTTTTCTTTCTAAAAACAGCCTCCCCTCATAGAAGTCCAGTGTTAACATCTGAATCAAAACTAGGTCGGCACATTTTTGAAGTCACCCTGAAGAAGGAAGACCCTCATGGCATAGGATTAACAATTGTCGGAGGGGAGGCAACCAGTAGTTTAGATCTTGGAATTTTCGTCAAATCTGTAGTACCAGGTGGTCCGGCAGATCGCGATGGGAGGATAAAGCCAGGAGATCGTCTTATTGCTATAGGGACAGATAGTCTCGAGGGGAAGCAGCATCGGGATGCTGTTAGGATGATACGAGAGGGAGGCCCTCAGATAACATTACTAGTCTCTCAAATACGACCACCTGGTACTATAAAGAAACGCAACTTACACGATGAACAAGCGGAATTTGAAAAAAAGCTACGGAATTCAATGTTGAACAATGAAAGTAGCATAAGTAAACCTGACATTGTTCGTTTAAAGACCCATGTTGACAGTGTAGACACCATGCTTCGTTATGATGATTTTGTTGATAATGTGTATAGCAACAGTGATAATAACAATGTATACAATTCTGATGAGAAGACATACCCTAAAATGATGCCTTCTGCTTCATCTACAACTGCAACCTTTCCTGGACTTTCTTCGGCAAAAGACAAAAGTAGTAAGCCTGTGCAAACAAGGTTTAAAATAAAGAGCAAGCTTCAGCCAACTAGAATCACAAAACCAGATACACAGCAGCATGTGAGCTCAGGGTATCTGGATGTAGAAGATGGATTGAATGATGCACCACATTATACTTCATCACAGTACTCATCACACCCTGTGAAGGTGATCAGAAAAGGGCAGCATCAAGACATTGGTCTGGATGGTTTGGGCAGTGGTGAAAAGGATAATGGTCAGTTGAACCAGCTTCGGGAGGAGCGAGAGATAGTCTTTAACTGTGGTAGTGAAGCTGCAGACTCACCCAGTGATGAGATTATGCATGGCAGAGAAAGTTTCTCTCTTAATGGACTCACAGAGGAGGAAAGGGAGCATATTAAGATGCTCGGAGGTAAGCAGCTTTGCTGCAGGTTGTTGTTGTCATTTATGTCTTGGCTTTTAAATAGAACCATCCCTACCTGGGTTCCTGGGCCCCGTTTTAGGGAAAGAAAGAAACGACCTCCTGCCCCCCTAAAATTTGACTATTTAAAAGTGTCTTTTTCTAAATTGGAGTGCATCTACCTGAGAAATGAGGAACCAGCAATCTGCTTACAAATCAGCTAGACCTGTAAAACGGATGTGCATACAGAACTCAAGTTCTGGAGGAAAACTAGGTTCAGAAGTGGACCAGCAACTAGAACTTTCCACCCGAGTTTACAGACAGTGAAATCTAAGAATAAGAATAATTCTAGCATGTTACATAAAACTTCATCATATTTCTTTTCTTAATTCTGCTATCTCTGCTATCTTTTTTCAACTTTAGGTTAGACCACTACACATAAAGTCAGATACAACAGACAGTTAAAATTAATTCGATCTCTCCGATGCAACAGACAGTTAACATTTATTTAATCTTTCAGATACAACAGACAGTTAACATTAATTTAATCTTTCAGTTACAGCAGACAGTTAACATTAATTTATTCTTTCAAAAACAACAGACAGTTAAAATTAGTTTAATCTTTCAGATACAACAGGCAGCATTAATTTAATCTGTCAGAAACAACAGACACTTATCATTAATTTGATCTCTCAGTTACAACAGACAGTTAACATTAATTTGATTTCTCAGATATAGTGGACAGTTAACATAACTCTTAGATATTTCAGATAATTAACATAAATTGTATTTCTCAGACATAGCAGATATTTAACTCAACTCTTTGAGTCCCAAGGAACGTGTCATACATTCATAGATTCCTACCTAGAAGCCCAATGAACGCAAGATGTGCCAATTTTACGTCTTTCTTGACTACCCTTTGGGCCTCTGATGCTAAACCCCCTGGGACTCAAAGAGTTAATAAATCTGATCTCTCGGACAAAGCAGATAATTAACATAAATCTGACTTCTCAGTTGCAACACACATATTTAATATAAATCTGACCTCTCAGATACAGCAGATAGTTCATATAAATGTGATCTTTCAGATATAGCAGGTAGTTAACCATAATCTGGTCCACCCAGTTACAGCAGGCAGTTAACATAAATCTGGTCCACCCAGTTACAGCAGGCGTTAACATAAATCTGGTCCACCCAGTTACAGCAGGCAGTTAACATAAATCTGGTCCACCCAGATACAGCAGGCAGTTAACATAAATCTGGTCCACCCAGATACAGCAGGCAGTTAACATAAATCTGGTCCACCCAGATACAGCAGGCAGTTAACATAAATCTGGTCCACCCAGATACAGCAGGCAGTTAACATAAATCTGGTCCACCCAGTTACAGCAGGCAGTTAACATAAATCTGGTCCACCCAGATACAGCAGGCAGTTAACATAAATCTGGTCCACCCACATACAGCAGGCAGTTAACATAAATCTGGTCCACCCAGATACAGCAGGCAGTTAACATAAATCTGGTCCACCCAGATACAGCAGGCAGTTAACATAAATCTGGTCCACCCAGATACAGCAGGCAGTTAACATAAATCTGGTCCACCCAGTTACAGCAGGCAGTTAACATAAATCTGGTCCACCCAGATACAGCAGGCAGTTAACATAAATCTGGTCCACCCACATACAGCAGGCAGTTAACATAAATCTGGTCCACCCAGATACAGCAGGCAGTTAACATAAATCTGGTCCACCCAGATACAGCAGGCAGTTAACATAAATCTGGTCCACCCAGATACAGCAGGCAGTTAACATAAATCTGGTCCACCCAGATACAGCAGGCAGTTAACATAAATCTGGTCCACCCAGATACAGCAGGCAGTTAACATAAATCTGGTCCACCCAGTTACAGCAGACAGTTAACATAAATCTGGTCCACCCAGTTACAGCAGGCAGTTAACATAAATCTGGTCCACCCAGATACAGCAGGCAGTTAACATAAATCTGGTCCACCCAGTTACAGCAGGCAGTTAACATAAATCTGGTCCACCCAGTTACAGCAGACAGTTAACATAAATCTGGTCCACCCAGTTACAGCAGGCAGTTAACATAAATCTGGTCCACCCAGTTACAGCAGGCAGTTAACATAAATCTGGTCCACCCAGTTACGGCAGGCAGTTAACATAAATCGGGTCCACCCAGTTACAGCAGGCAGTTAACATAAATCTGCTCTCAGTGACAGAGAAGATCCCCCTTTGGATTCTAGGGGGTAAAAAAAAAGACTTACTGCCCTTAAAGAAACATTTTTTAAAGGCAGTTTAAAAAGGTTTTGCTGAAATAGCATGTGTTCAATGGAAATTCCTGGCTGTAGATAAGAAGGGAATGTGCCAGCTGCCATTCTATGTGATAACAAGAAGAAGAAGATACAGTAGTAAGTTAACAAACATTTCTTCTCTCAGACAGTAGTAAGTTAACAAACATTTCCTCACTTGGACATAGCAGTTAATTAACAAACATTTCTTCTCTCAGACACAGCAGTAAGTTGGTATATATTTAATCTCAAACAGAGCAGTAAGTTGGTATACATTTAATCTCAGACAGAGCAGTAAGTTGGTATACATTTAATCTCAGTAAGAGCAGTAAGTTGGTATACATTTAATCTCAGACAGAGCAGTAAGTTGGTATACATTTAATCTCAGACACAGCAGTAAGTTTAACATAATTTCCATTTAGACACAACAGTAAACTACACACATTTCATCTCAGGCACAGCAGTAAGTTAACTGACATCTAATCCCTCAGACATCGCAGCCCTGGATGCTAATGACTCATCATCAGACAGCGACTTTGACGCAGCAGTGAACAAAACTATCAAAGGTGAAGCCTACAGCCCAGCAAGACACAGCAGAATAGCCCATTCTGTTGGTCCATTAGTGAGCAGAGTGCCTGCGGAGCGAGATACCGGGTTTGTTATTGCTTCATTCGTATATAATAGCTTCTTCTTCTACGTCATTCATGAAAATAATATAAATTGCCTCCAGATTGCATTGGTATTGTAGTATGAATACAACCAATCTATTTAGACTACAGATTACATCTGGTCCAAAATGAAGGATTAGGCATCACAGAATGATTAGCTTCCAAGTTATTTTTGCTTCTGACATTGCTTTGCTAATGCAGTTTCCACAAATGGACCGAAGTCTGCCCTTTTGCTGCCTGGGCTTCTGTGTTTAGTGCCTGGTACAGCCCTGTGAGCCGTGTTTTATTTGGGGAATGCTGTTCCTTTGTGCAGCGGTTATGTCATGGTATTTGAAATGGCCAGTAGACAGTTTACCTGTGGGCTGGTGAAATACCTTATGTAAAAATTTAACATGTGTATAGCCATCTGTGACCGAGTACTTCCATCAACGATAAACTGTATTTCTGGTGGCGACTGTTGGCTTTAGAGCCTCTTGTAACTGCTACATGCATTAACTGAGTGCGCAGATTTATGGATTGTGCCAGGACCATTATTTGTTCACCAGTTGTTTTTTTTTAATTGGACTGTGAGGAACATCTCATTTGACTTTCACTGGCATAGGAACGGAGCAAGTATCAGGTGACCCAATTGCAGTGAAGTCGAAACCTTGACTACAATAAGTTATTTTGTAACCATTCAGTACCTCTATATAACTGTGTCAAATGGCTGACTGGGGTTTCTGGGACTTGGGGGATTCTCATTAGAATGGTGTCTCTTTGATCCACTTTATGTTTATTGCTCTGTATGTAGTTCTAGAGGCATTAACTGCACTCACTCATTGGTATAGCACTAACATAATCTTGTTGACTCTTTGCCAATCTCACCTAAGTGCTAAATCCATGTTTCAAGAAAATTTCTTTTAGAAGTGGCAAATGTTTGGTTTTTTTAGAAGTAATATCATTTTGACCTGCTTAGATTAGGAATTCACATGTATGCCTTTGGCATATTGTAAAGTGATAAATAACGGCCCTGTAAATGCATTGAGGTGGAACATCACAAAATCATTTTTGAAATAGATGTCTCCCTCTGCCTCTCTCTCCGCTTTTGTTGTTGTCATGACGTACTCTAGGTTTACACTTATCCTGAGAGCTCAAAGAATATGAATTGCCTCCCACGGCCATAAAGTAAAAGTAAAGTGAAGATCCCTTTTCACGCCTTTAGGCGCATCGGGTGTATGGGAAGAGCGCCCATATTTTTTCAGACCATCGGCACTATGTGGGTAATGTGGTCAGCATTACTCCGGCCGTTTCTACTTCCTCAGGACAGCCATCCTGGTATCCATTTCAGGCTGGGTCGACCTGCGATGCCCCATACCATGATCAAAATCCACGCAGCCAGCAGTGGGTTTCGATTGCGGTACGTTGGAATTACGAATTGGACTCACAATGCCTAAGCCACGGCCGCCGCCTCTCAAGGCCATACATGACTGCAAATTGTCTCTCTACCTCCCTATTTAGGTTCTGGGGCCCCATTTTGAGGGGGAGGGGGGAATAGACTGACCCACTGCCTACATTAACAAGAAGGTCATAAAAGATCACTTATTAATGATTTGCTGAAATTGGATATGGGGCAGAAAGTTGCAGATATTGCAGCTTAGCCTAGCTGTAAACTACAACACAGTGTGTCAGCTGCCTTTTAAGGTCATCCTCAGAAGAAGAAGATGAAACAGTCTTTCTAAGTAACATGGTGTGAATGTACTGTGCTATTAGCTGTATATATATATATGTAGTTTTGAAGTATAGTTTGGAAACAAGGCTTAAAATGAAGATTTCATTTTTCTAATTTTCTGTTCTTTGCAGTTTGAATGATCTTGTGTTTTATGAAGTCATTTTGGAGAGTCGCAACAATTCCTTGGGAATAGTTACAAATGTAAGTAGTCTGTTGTATGCTTTTATTTTCAGAACCTAATGTCTGCTTTCTTCCCATCCTCTGTGTAAAATTATTGTCAGAGCCTAAATGTCCAATTTTCTTCCAAGGTCCTCAGTGGTGAGATAATTGTGCATGAATATTCTACCTCAGTATTTCCCATTTCCTGGATGATAGGGAGAAAAAACACACAAAACTAGATTGCACTCCTGTTTGAGTTTCTGATATTTTTAAATTCTAAGTTAGTTTTTTTTTTTTTTATATGACTGTTACATTGTATGGAGTCTGCTGCAGACTTTCAGAAATAAGAGGGATTCCCCAGGTCTTAGCTAATAAAAAAAAAAAACCACTGTTCTGCATAATTGGTTAATTCTGCGTTAATAAGTGTAAAATAATTTGGTTAATTTTTTTAATTCTACAATTAAATTATCAACAATTTCTGCTGCTGCCGTCTATTCTGCCTCTTCCTCTTCGTCCTCTGCTTCTGCCTTTCATCTTCCAATGGAGAATAGGTTTATGATGGGCTTGCAGCCAGCCAACAGTAGGTACTCTACATAATTGTTGGGTGAATTTTGTAACTACAGTTTTTGCTAGTAAGAGAAATGCAGTTTCATGTGAGTGAGTGACCCCACTAGGACCACATACTGAGTGTGAGTGATTAACACACAGTGAGGCAGATTGCAATGTGTCATTACTGGGATGAGAATTACGTCATGTAGAAATGTCAGAAACCCAGTTCAACCTTGAGGTTATACTGGGACCTCCCGATTGTTACAGTAACCCTGAAGTTCAGACTGGGTGGGGTCAGGTGTGATGATTATTCACACCAACAGTCCTTAACAGCTGACTGACTGATATTCAACCCCACCAGGACCTCAGATGAGCGATAAACACCCCATGACATAAAAGTGCGACCATTCAGATGAGAGGCACTAGTTCTAGAAACCCCGTTCAACCTGTTAAGTTATATTTAGGGCCCCATTGACAGCTTTTTTCCTACTACATTTCAGATTTATTTAGCTTCAAACATGTCTTTTTTATGTTGCATCAACAATTGTCACCTCAACTTCCACACCTGGTTTGATGCTGATTGACGTGATCTGCTTAACGATCTCAGGGTGACTGTACAGGTCAATGATGCGCTTAACCGGTATCTATCCCAAGTCTTGGAACCTTCACCACAGGGAGCCTTGCTTGTTATCATACGCAAAATTTTAGTTGGTATGCGCACCAGCCCTTTCACTTTTAGGTTCGTTTCCTTGGTACCTTTGGTGAGGTCAGCGCACACCTTTTCAAGACTTTTCACAACCCTGCTTTTCAGGGTCATACGAATCCTGTGGATTGGTGCCTTATCTGCTGCAGTTTTCAGAGAGCCATCCTTGCTAAAACCAGACTCCTTGAATTACATTTTTCTGCTATTTGGCCAACTTATTTGAAAGAATAATCAAGTCTTTGAACAGCTGCCTGTCTTTCCTCAACCTTTTGGCTGAGATCAAAGTGTGGCTCTGCTGCATTGGTCTGGCCAAAAGGACCTGGATCGTTCAAAACCAAGTCACGGGTTAAGCCCAAACGGCATAAGCAATCTCTAAAAAAAAAAAACTCATACCGTGCGGTTCCCTGGTTCGACCTGGATTACGGACATAATATTCTCCGGATAGTCAGGCGGCCATGCATTTGGGAGACTGACCCGGTTTTTTTTTAAAAAATTTTTAAAGACAGCTGGGGTGGAGCTTTAAGATATTGAAAATAAAATTGTCAAACATTGGGATAGCTATTCCAACAGTCCCTAACGAATTCGGTACTTGAAAACTGGTACATCTGTACTATAAAATCTATGTGCCTATCTGTCTGTATATTTCTGTCACAAGAACTCCCAAACGGTTACGACTAAGAGGTGAAATTTGCAGATATTGTTCTAGCTGCAATATCTAGATCAACTTAGCTTTTTTGCTGGTAATTAATGCTGCAGTAACCAAAAATTAACATTCACTTGAGTTATTTCCCTTGAGTGCTACATATTTTATACGTCCTTTGAAGAATATGTGTTTGAAAAGCGCGCGTGTGTGTGTATTGCTGTTATCTCCCTTTAAACTTGATGTCTGGACAGCGGCTGCCATTTTCTTTTAGCAGTAGTGTAGTGGCTAGACTAGTGGATAATAACATAATCATTAACTATCCCTGGTGAAGCTGGGCAGTTAAATCTAGTTAGTTATAAATCAACACATGATGCTTTTTCTGGTAGCAAAAGAGTTAAAATCACCCATTACAGCTAACATTTTAGACTACCTCGTTACTATTGTTTACTTCTTATCAGGGCCATATTTAGGCACTGTGAAAGATGTGCAGCTGCACAGGAAGGGAATATTTTGAGGCAGCAGAATTCTACAACTTATTGTTGATAGTCCGTAAACAAATAGGGATGCTGAAGATTAGCTGAGGGGAGATAAATAAATTACTTCACAGGATTGACATACACCCTAAATTTTTCGCCTACTTCTTATATGTGCACTAGTAATACTTGGGCAAAAGAAAGATGCACTCTTTTTTTTCAATTCCAGACACCAGGTGATCCAGGATTTCCGATTGATGGAGTATACATTAAAGAAGTCCTACCCGGTAGTGCCGCTGATGAAGGAGGAATATTAAGAACAGGTTGTGCATCGTTTCTTGCACTTATGGTTGTGTGTCTTTTTTTCTGTTTTTTTGTTTTTATAGTGAGAAAAGTATTTTTCTTAAATAGTTTAAACTGTCTTTGCCATGTATGTATATGAAAACTATATACAACTATAAGACAGAGGGGCAGTCAGTTTTCTTTGGTCAGGTGATGAGAAGAGTCTTATTTTAGGACATCCTGATGACTGGAAAGAGCATTGGTAGAGGATGCAGAGGCAGACAAGAAATGATGCTTGACGGTCTGAAGCGAGGAATTGATTGAAAATATCACAGATTGAGATCTATAGAGAGTCATAAGTGCCTGCTTCACCTCACAATCCTCTTATTGGTGTTTTCCCTCTGGGCATTGTGATGACTATCTTTTGACAATGAAATAATTAAAAACTCTAGGAAACATTACCTACAAAGGCTTAATCTCGGTCAGTCCACGTCTGCTATGCTAAATGATGGTCGAGTTACATCCTAGTATGTCCATCTGCAGATAAGAAAATCAATCACTGGTTTTGTACTTCCTGCTGACATCTGAGTTTAGATGTCAGTCCTTCAGTCTCTTTTCCTTCCTTCATTTAATTAAATGTAATTTCATTCTTCATTTATATATGTCATTTTCCTCTACTCTTCTGTCACCTTCTGTTCCAGAATGTTTTTTGTGTGTCTACTGCCTTTTTCCTGTCCCCCCTCTGTGTCTTTCCATTATTTGTTAGTGTGCCTTGTCTGCCATCAGTCTTAATGTCCTGTATTTTTATCTTTTTTTTTCTCTTAAACTTACCACTTTGGTGGGTTTTCCTATTATGGCTTGTAGTCATTCCACTTTTTTAGTTTATTTCATTTCTTTTTTTTCCTGTGTGGTTTTGCCACATTTTGGAGGTTAAAAACAACAGGCCCTGCCCCCCCTCCCCCCAACAGGCATGTCATAAAAGGCAACTGATTAGGGGTGTTTTCTTCAAGGTCGAAGGCATCTGCCTGAGAGGAAAGCAACCAACAGTCTGCAAACAAATAACCAGACCTGTAAAACTGATGTGCACATATACCCAGGTTATGGTGAACACTAAGAAGAAGATTTCCCTTGTTTAAAAGCTTCCACTGTAATGCTTCACTATTCAATGTTTTGTACAATTTGTGTGTTTCAGGTGATAGAATATTGGAAGTAGCAGCCCAAAATGTGGAGGCTAGTGACAGCATGACAGTGCAGACACTACTTAACTCTGCCGCTGACCTGAGCAAGCCAGTTACCTTGAAAGTTTCACGTCCCCTACACAGAGACACAGCAATTAATGCAAAGTCTGCATACGGAAATCAGAACATTGTATGTTATTTCTGTCATTAAGTATCATTACTGCCTGAATTGACCACTTCATCAAGGGTAGGGTGGGGGTCATGGGGTGTGGGGTCTTTGAACCTGAGGATTTAGGGCCACATGACTATTGCCGGTACCATAGACTGTGAAGGGTCAGATTCTCTTTTTGTCCCCCAAGTGAAAAAACACATAACCAAGACCGACTCCAGCTGACGGGCTATGCTGCTGAGGTCACCAAACACTGTTTTTCTCAAACTTTTTCGTTGGGTCAAACAAAAAATGTTGTGGCACACCTATCCTTAAAGCGGTTTGAATACTTAATACAAGAAGAAAAAACAGTGCAAATTTAATGTCAAGCAGTGTAGACAACACAGAAGTGATGACATTCTCCAGAAAAGGAAGAACCGCCAATATGAAAATTGATGAACACCAGTTAGAGCAGGCGAAAGATTATACATATCTGGGGAGCATTTTTTTTTGGAAGATGGAAGTATTAATAATGAAATCCAACACAGATGCAATAAAGCCAATCAAGTTTTAGGCCAGATGGCACCAATTTTGAAATGCAAGCATATGAATATGAACACTAAAAGAATACTGTTCAACACAATATTCTTACCAATGCTATGCTTTCAATGTAAATTATGGACACTCTCATCAGATGACAGAAGGAAAATAGTCACGACAAAAATGAAATATTTATTTACTATGCTAGGTGTGACAAGGAAAGATCGACTTAGGAACGATGATATCAAGAGGAGGGTCGGCACAGAACCAATACTGAACTTTATGGGTAGACTACAAATCAAATGGTTTGACCATGTAACAAGACTGGCAGCAGACAAGGCACCACAGAGAGCAATGTTATACAGATACAGTGGTAACAGACCCAGAGGTCGACCACACAGAACATGGACCGCAGAAATATCAGACATACTGAAAAGTACTTTATACGAAGCGAACAGAGCGGCCCTTTCCAGAGATCTCTTCCTGCCTGACACCGCGAGGCATTCCAGGAGTAGAGAAAAGAAGAAGAAGATTAATTGTAAGCTATCATTGTATAGTAAGATTCTGTGGTGTCCATGGCCAAGCGGTTGAGCCATTTGCCCTATGCTGTGAGGTTCAGGGATTTGTTTGGTTCATTAGTGCAATTTTTATGAAGATCCCTGCAAATATTTTGCTGATTTTATGGAGATCTCTTTAGATATTTTGCTGCTTTTATGGAGATCTCTTTAGATATGTTGCTGGTTTTATGGAGATCTCTTTAGATATGTTGCTGGTTTTATGGAGATCTCTTTAGACATTTTGCTGTTTTTATGGAGATCTCTTTAGACATTTTGCTGTTTTTATGGAGATCTCTTTAGATATGTTGCTGGTTTTATGGAGATCTCTTTAGATATTTTGCTGCTTTTATGGAGATCTCTTTAGATATGTTGCTGGTTTTATGGAGATCTCTTTAGATATGTTGCTGGTTTTATGAAGATCTCTTTAGATATGTTGCTGGTTTTATGGAGATCTCTTTAGATATTTTGCTGCTTTTATGGAGATCTCTTTAGATATGTTGCTGGTTTTATGGAGATCCCTCCAATTTGTTGCTGATCTCGTTGCAGAGTGAGAATAGATTGAATATTAGAAGTCATTGTTTAGTAACATTGCATTAAGTACTATAAATGATTTTGTAGTAAGATAAGATTAATTATTAGATGTCAGTGTGCAGTAAGACTGAAATTGAATATAAGATCACATTTTTTTGGGGTCAGAATAGATTATATATTAGATCTCATTGTATAGTAAGAATAGACTGAATATTATGGTGTAATAAGATATGCCTGAATGTGTAAATGTTTGTAGTCTTCATAAAAATAATACCAGATCATCATCTTGTTTTGGTTCCACAGGGTAACTTTGGTTCTCAGGCTTCAAGTTGGAACATGCTTCAGAAACATCCTGGTATTAGTAGTCAGTGGGACCACTCAGACAACCCAGACAAACCTGTCCACCATCCCCCGAGCCTTAAAGAACAACCCAAATCCATGTCCATATCCAAACTTGTAACTTCAGCACCCAAGGATAGAACAGAACCATTGAATGAGAATCTTCTCATTGTTCCTCCTCCTCCTCCACCTCTAACCCTGATCTCTCAAGACTCTGAATCAAACACCCAGAGTGACATGGACTCTGATATCCTGGACAGTTCTAGGTCTGCTTTGGAAAATAAATACAGTGAAGCTGCATGTTTAAAAAAAGATGAAGTGCCCTCCAAAGTTGCATCAGGGAAGAACAGTGATTCCCATTTAGCAGCATCGACAAAGGAGGAAGATGATCACTTTGTCAGAGATTATGTAGACAAGAAGGATGATAGTGTAGAAGGTGGACGAGACTCCACTTCTTTAGATGAAAAGGGTGGACGAGACTCAACTTCTTTAGATGAAAGCTCAGAATTCAATAGACAGTTATTATCATTAAAAACAACTTTAGATAATCTATTAGAAAATGAAAGTGTCTCAACAGTGTGTGATTCGAACCCTAGTGAGGCTTCAAGTGAGCCAGTTATCATCAGATCACCAAGGAGAGTAATTGAAAAGCAGCAGAAGCCTCTAGTCAGACAGTCTGAGCCCCGGCCAGTTGATGATAATCATGATGTGAATGAAGAGCATGATGATGATGATGATGTAGTTGTGACCTCATATGGTGATTATAGGAAACCAGACTCAGATCCTGTCAGAGTTACAGGGGAAGATACTTCTCAAGATAAGGTGGAGGATAGTGGAAAATTATCTTCAGAAGTTTATCTTAGATCAAGTGAACCTGAGGTAAGTTAACATTTTATATTATTCTCTCTCTCTCTCTCTCTCTCTCTGTCTCTCTCTCTGTCTCTGTCTCTCTCTCTCTCTCTCTCTCTCTCTCCTCTCTCTCTTTCTCACTCGCTCTCTTTCTCTCCCCCCTCTCTCTCTCACACACACACTCTCTCTCTCTGTCTCTGTGTGTGTGTGAGAGAGAGAGAGGGAGGGAAGTGACAGGTTGTGTGTTTTAATAAAGCTAATCTACACCACTTTTGCATTCACCCTTAAAGGGGTGGTTAACACAGTGTGGTGTGGTTTACAGCTAGGCACTCACGTCTGATTTCAGCAAACCCCCAATTTTAACAAAAAACACTTGTTGAAGTACTAAGGTAACTGTGGCTCTGTTTATTCTACACTAATGGGGCCTTAGAACCCATTCGGTTAAATCTAAACGACCAGTAAAGAGCTTCTGTCAGCCACTTTGACGAAATAGTCCATGACATAAAGGTTCAGACCAGCTGCAGTGAAGTCAATCTTCTTGCTTGTATAATCATCATCTAGTTACTTTTAGTTTTGTACGCCTATATATAAATGGACCACATGTAGATTATCAACTAGCTGCAGATAACTTTATTAAGAAAGGTAATTTAAAGGACTACTTTTACTGAACAGATAGCCGCATTGTATTGCTAGGCCTACAGTGAACATTAATTTAAATGGCTCTTATTTGCTAGCTAAGAGACGGGGAAACTAGTGCACCATGACAGCAGACAAGTTGAAGGGGGAGATCTAGAGAGACTTGGGACTGGACACTGTGGTCTTGGAGCACACTTGTACAGGATAGGCATAAAAGAATCTGCTGCCTGTGATTATGGAGCAGAAAGACAGACAGACCCCTGAGCACATACTACAGTACTGCCCTAACCTCTCCCAGCAAAGACTGTGGATCTGGCCCAAGGGAGCCACATTGCAAGAGAAACTATGGGGGACCGGTGGCGACCTTAAACGCAAAGTCCTATTTGTGACCCAGACGGGACTCAATGTTTAGCATGACTGATGTTGAACGCAGAAGAAGAAGAAGAAGCTCCATACTTTCTCCGTGTGGGTTCCAGGGCCCCATTATGGAAAAATTAAAACAATAGACTCACTGTCCCCTATTGAACTGTAAAAGGCAACTAATTAACAGAGCTTTCAAATCTGATCAGGAAAGGCACAGATATCGTAGTCTAGCTGTGTTCATTCGTTAAGTTTTGCTCTGCTTGCAGATTCTGGAAATTTCTCTGAAGAAAGATGGTAGTGGGTTTGGTTTTACTATCGCTGGGGGAGTGAACTCTGGGGGTTGTTACATCAAACAGTTGGTCTCTGATCCTGCAATAGGAGATGGTCGGCTGCAACAAGGCGACAGGATATTGAAGGTACTTTTTATAAAAATTGTCTTTGTAATGTTAGTTAGGGCATCTTTTCATTGTCACTGATAATTTTATTTTAAAGCTGACTAGTTATTGTTTGACTAGTTTTTTGTTTATTTTTTCTGATGTACATATATTTTAGTTATAGTGATTTTCAAATGTGATCATTTATTTTCACTTACAAATTGATTTTTCTTTGGTTAATTTGAACAGGTGAATGGTCAGTACATTCTGGCGTTAAACCACATTGATGCTGTTACCTTCATCAGGAAGCTGCCCAATGTGGCTCACATGCAAGTCCTGAGGTATCCCCAGTCTGTTGAGGATAAGGAGACACAGGTCAGTTTGATATAGTGGGAAACAGCATCATTTAATAGCTGATTGCTTCTGAAATCTATCACCTCTCTCTCTCTCTCTCTCTCTCTCTCTCTCTCTCTCTCTCTCTCTCTCTCTCTCTCTCTCTCTCTCTCTCTCTCTCTCTCTCTCTCTCTCTCTTTCTCTCTCTCTCTCTTTCTTTCTCTATCTCATATCTCTCTCTTCACACACTCTCACACTCTCTCTTTCTCTCTCTCTCTCACACTCTCTTTCTCTCTCTCTCTCTCTTTCTTTCTCTATCTCATATCTCTCTCTTCACACACTCTCACTCTCTCTCTGTCTCACTCTCTGTCTCTCTCTCTCTTTCTTTCTCTCTCTCATATCTCTCTCTTCACACACTCTCACACTCTCTCTTTCACACACACTCTCTCTCTCTCTCTCTCTCTCTCTCTCTCTCTCTCTCTCTCTCTTTCTTTCTCTCTTTCATATCTCTCTCTTCACACACTCTCACTCTCTCTTTCACACACATTCTCTCTCTATCTCTGCATGAGCACACATTAAAGGGGGGGGGGGGGGGGGGGGGGGGGGGGGCATATAAGGTACAGATGTGTAAGGTTATATTATGTTAAATCCAGCCCCAGCCCTTGTTATGCAATGTGCATCTTTTCTTTAATATGTGTTGTATGTTTTTTTATGTTCAGCTACGTAATTTTTGGCTTATGGAATGTGTAGCTTTTGTTTTTATATATTTAAATATATGCACACACACATACACGTATATGGCTTCTGTTATGTGATGTGTTTCTTTTATATAATATTTGGTGTGTGACTACTTTTAAATTGTCTGTGGCTGCTTGTATTTGATGTGTGGCTATTTGTATAGAATGTGTGGCTATTTAATGTGATGCATGGCTACTTTATGTGATAAATTACTAATTATATGTGATGTGCAGCTCTTTTTGGGATGTGTGGCTACTTATGTGTTTTGTGTGGCTTCTTGTTTTTGGTGCATGGCAATTTTTATGGGATGTTTGGCTACTTGTATGTGATCCATGGCTACTTTATGCAGTGTGAGGTTACTTTTATGCTGTGTGTGGATACTTGGCTATTTAACGCGATGCATGGCTATTTTTAAGTGTTGTGTGCCGTCCATACCTTTATGGTTTCTGTTAAGTGATCCGTGCCTTGTCTGACATGGTTGCGCCATCTTCCAGGCAGAAGTGATGATCATTGAGCTGTTGAAGCCAAGTACACTGTCGGACCTGGGCTTCAGCTTATCGCAGCGAGAAGTTGATGGTCAGACAAGAATCTTGGTGAAGAGGTTAAAGGCAGGAGGTGTTGCTCATAGTGATGGCCGTCTGCTGGAAGGTGACAGAATTATCTGGGTATGTAGTTTTGTGGGTGTCTGTTTACAATTGCATGGGTATAAAAGTGTATTCAAAGACTCAGATGGTTAGGACACACATGGAAGATGGTAGAGTTCCTTAGAACATCTTCTGTGATAAATTTCAGATGAGTAGAAGACATCGAGGTTGGCCTCAACTGCACTTTAAAGTGATTGATACTTTTATCAATGTCTGTTTATGGTAACAAGAATCTATGGACCATGCAGACCATGGAGAACAGGATTGCAGAAAGAGCTGAGCATGTGGAAAAAAAAATGTCATATACAGATGAAGGCTGCAATGGTCCTGAAATCGCATGCACTTTATTGTGAAAGATGTTTTAACACAAGCAGGCATTGCTAGTCACACTCGTCATCGGTACAGACTGTAATTCTTATGCCTTTCTGTAGCACAGTAAAACAGTACTATGTTATGGAAAGATGGCAACAACAGGTTTACAAGTAAATTAATGAACTATTGTGTAACTGATTGGGCCTTAATAAGTTTAAATAAATACATTATGAGAAACAGGATTCAGTGTCGAATTTCAGACGGATGGCTTAATTAAATTAATAATGCTGGTTAACTGGAGGAATTTCTTATTCATGTTCACGGCTGTAAACTCCAGCAGAAACTTCTGGTTTGTTTGTCCACCTCTGGACTTTAGTCTTGTTCCAGAATTTGAATGTGGGGTGCACATCTGTTTGATCAGTCCGACTTATTTATATGCAGACTATTAATTCCTTGCCTCTCAGGCAGATGAGCTCCAACTTCGAAGGAAGCACCCAAATAGTTGACTCTTTCAACATGCTTGTTGAGCAATGGGTCTATTCTTATTTTTCCTATAATGGGGCCCCGGAACCCACACGGGGAAACTGAAGGAATTAAAAATTACAATAAGTATCTAGTAACCAGTGAAAGTATGATAAATCATTTGGCACAGAATGGTTTACTATTGGTAACTGCATTTATGAAAAATCAGCAAACTTAGTGTTATTCCAGTGAGTGGAAAATGTCATCTCTGTTTTGATAGGCCAATGGAGTTTCTTTTATCAACATATCCAAGGGGGCAGCACTCTCTGTTCTCAGACACACTGACAGACGGGTATTACTTCTCATTGCAAGGTCAGTTTGTGTCTGTCATTGTTTTATGACAGTTTTTTCTTTCTTTCTTTCTTTCTTTCTTTCTTTCTTTCTTTCTTTCTTTCTTTCTTTCTTTCTTTCTTTCTTTCTTTCTTTCTTTCTTTCTTTCTTTCTTTCTTTCTTTCTTTCTTTCTTATCATTCACTGTCTGTATTTGTTCTTTATTTTGGCTCTTTCTATTATAAACAATAGATACAAGTTCTCAAAACTTGTGTCGTCTTCAAAACAAACAAAAAACTATATACACACACACACACACACACACACACACACACAAATATATATATATATATATATATATATATATATATATATTTTTTTTTTTTTTTTTTTTTTTTTTCCCAAGGCAATTGAAACCTAATCTGAATGGAACAGTATGCAGAAGGAAAAAATATTTCCAGACAAAATGGCCCCTTTGCAATACCCCAAATACACGTCATGACGATTTGCAGCACATGCAAACGCAACAGCAACAAGATGGCCACAGCACTATTAACATGCACCGTGGAAAAACAACGAGTGTCATTCATATTTACTGAGCAAAGGAGATTAAACCCTCTGAAATTTATCAAAGAATGAAGGTTCAAAACTCTCACCAGTGCTCATTACAGGGACACATAAGTGAACAAGTTGAAACCTACAATCTGATTAAAACGCTTAGGTCTTCTCTTAAATGGAGTTTTGTTGCTGCAGGACAATGCCCCCTCCACACGGCTTCGCATACAGTGGATGCACTACAGACTTTGCGGCTGGAAGTATAGAAACATCCAGCATACAGCCCAGACCAGGCACCATTGGACTTTCATTTGTTCGGCCCATTGAAAGAACATTTGCTTTGTCAGAGATTTGCAGATGACAGTGAGATGATGTCGGTGGTGCAAACTCGGTTGCTGGCGACAGTGAGATAATGTCGGTGGTGCAAACTCGGTTGCTGGCGACAGTAAGATGATGTCGGTGGTGCAAACTCGGTTGCTGGCGACAGTGAGATGATGTCGGTTGTGCAAACTCGGTTGCTGGCGACAGTGAGATGATGTCGGTGGTGCAAACTCGGTTGCTGGCGACAGTGAGATGATGTCGGTGGTGCAAACTCGGTTGCTGGCGACAGTGAGATGATGTCGGTGGTGCAAACTCGGTTGCTGGCGACAGTGAGATGATGTCGGTGGTGCAAACTCGGTTGCTGGCGACAATGAGATGATGTCGGTGGTGCAAACTGGGTTGCTGGCCACACCCAAAAGCTTCTACCTGACAGGCTTCCACACTCTTGTGGATTGGTGGACCATATATGTTGTAAGGCAGGGAGACTTATGTCAAGAAATAGGACATTGAACAGTTTTGCTCTAGCCACTTGTAAAAATACTTATTAATGCAGTTGTCTTAAGTTATTGACTTCCCCTCATATGTATGTATGTAGGTAGGTAGACAGGCAGGTAGGTAGGTAGGTATGTGTTTATGTATGTATGTGTTTATGTATAGATAGGTGTGTGTATATTTTTTTTTTGGTTACTCCACAACTTTAGGTTTATGTTAATGGTCAATTATCGATGGTAATTTAAAGTTGGTTGTCTAAAGTTTTATTATCCTGATATTTGTTTTGTGTTTTGAGGGTAAATAATGATGTTTAATTGCAGATCTGACAAACATGGAAGTTCAGATAAGGGAGAACATGAAGAAGATAGCGATGAATCTGATAATGGTAAGAAATGTGAAATGTTGCTATATTTAGAGTAAACTGTCTCATATTAATTGGGGGAAAAGCTAATAATAGTATATATAGTAAGTTCTTTCAGTGAAACCCGCAACACAAAAGAAGAAAAGAGGGACTTAAAAACAAACAGAGACAAGAATTAAAAACAAAGTTGAATAATATGAAGAAAGCAGCGGGAGATAATAAAAAATAAGTTGGCATACCATGAATTGGTGTAGAGTCAGTCCTCTAGTGATAGATAAAGGCCAGGTCTCATTGTTAAAACCATTATGGAGTAAAGTAAAGCTCTTTTTTCATATAGGGCCAGACCTATAATTTATAGACCAATCTGCACTTCATGGATGATGTGGTCAGCATTACACCAGCCACCTTTACTTCCCAGGACTTTGCCCTATTACCCATTTAAGGTTGGGTCTGCCTGGGAACACAGTCATTTTTGAAAACCAAAAAAAAAAAAGTCTGGCTCCATTAGGACCTGAATCCATGACTTTCAGATCTGCAGGCGAATGTCTAGCCGCTAAACTATGACAGCTCCATTATATGGTCAGTATTTTACTGGCTTTCTTATCTTTATTATATGATCAGTATTTTACAGGCTTTCTTATCTTCATTATATGATCAGTATTTTACTGGCTTTCTTATCTTCATTATATGATCAGTATTTTACTGGCTTTCTTATCTTCATTATATGATCAGTATTTTACAGGCTTTCTTATCTTCATTATATGATCAGTATTTTACTGGCTTTCTTATCTTCATTATATGATCAGTATTTTACTGGCTTTCTTATCTTCATTAAATGATCAGTATTTTACTGGCTTTCTTATCTTCATTATATGACCAGTATTTTACTGGCTTTCTTATCTTCATTATATGATCAGTATTTTACTGGCTTTCTTATCTTCATTATATGATCAGTATTTTACTGGCTTTCTTATCTTCATTATATGACCTGTATTTTACTGGCTTTCTTATCTTCATTATATGACCAGTATTTTACTGGCTTTCTTATCTTCATTATATGATCAGTATTTTACTGGCTTTCTTATCTTCATTATATGATCAATATTTTACTGGCTTTCTTATCTTCATTATATGATCAGTATTTTACTGGCTTTCTTATCTTTATTATATGATCAGTATTTTACTTGCCTTCTTATCTTTATTATATGATCAGTTTTTTACTGGCTTTATTATATGATCAGTATTTTACTGGCTTTATTATATGATCAGTATTTTACTGGCTTTCTTATCTTCATTATATGATCAGTATTTAACTGGCTTTCTTATCTTCATTATATGATCAGTATTTTACTGGCTTTCTTATCTTCATTTTATGATCAGTATTTTACTGGCTTTTTTGTCTTCTATTAAACTTTATAAACCTTTTCTAAGATTGGGTCTCTCTGGAACCATGTAATGAAAATAAGCCTACCTTGTTGGGGGATTGGATAAAAAAAAACCCAGACTAGAAAATGTGCTAGCTCTGCTGCTCCTTTTTTTTTTTGCATTTTATATTTGAATAAAAAAGACACAAACAATAGATTACACAATTTATTACCTGGCATTCTTCACATAATTTTTTTTTAATGCAATCTATTGTGTGTGCCTTTTTTTGTTGTTTTTTGTTTGTTCAGTTTACAACACTCTACATACACATAAGCTAGATCTGATGTTCACGCAAACCTTAAGGTCTGAAACGAGACCAGTCCAGAAATGGACAGACAACCAGAACCCCCCTCCCCCAGAGTTTACAGCTGGTGAACGATAAGAAGAAGGAGAAGCACCAGCAAGGAGATGAGAGTCAAAATGTTGTTCCCTGTAGCAACAGACGGATGTAAGCCGTGGACTATCTCAGTCGTTAAGGAAGAAAATAGATCAGAAATCAAGGAAGCTTGGCTAGTAAACAGCATCTTGTCTCATGAACTGAAATATATTGGCCATATCAGGCACCATGAGGGATTGCAAAGAATAGTAGCAGAAGACATGGTGCCAGGAAAGTAAAGAAGGGCAGCAGCCAACCAGAATGAAGATGGGCACAAGATTTATGTGACGCCTTGGGTAGGAAAGTGCTTGAGGTGGTAGATCTGTCAAGTTTCTTTTGTTGTTGTTGAAACCTCTGTTCTTCAAAGGACCTTTTACAAGATTAGAAAAAAATCTCTCTATCTTTGTAGAATTTCTAATTTCTCTATTACTTGCCATTGTTGCATGTGGTTCACTCGCTGGTCTCCAATGGTTTTGTTTGGTTATCGGCAGTAGGCAGTTATGTCCCATATATGTTCTCCTGAGTGATTAGTTTCCCGAAGTTAGACATTCACCACAAGTGTGTGTTGTTCAACCCAACCAGGACTATACAGCAATGACCAACACCCGGTGACACAAAATGCCAGCATTTGGATAAGTATCATCCGGGCACAAGATCTAAAAACCCAATCGCCTGTCAGGTTATATAAGAACCTCCGACTACAGCCGGGGTGGGGCTTTAAAATAACGAAAAAAATGGCTTCCCACACTGGGACAGCAATAGTATGTCAAGTGTTACTGCTGTCAGTCAGACTGAATGACCATAAAGAAAATTGCCTAGTAGGAAATTATAAACCCGTAACAGATGAAGCAGCACAACCCCTAACACAGAAAGAGAGTGAAAGTAATGCTATCATATACTCACCTGAGATGGACCCAAGTATTTTCTTCTGTGTCTTCTTTCTTCTCAAAAAGGCAGTTGGCACTTTATGTTTTGGTTTTCAGCTGGGCTGTGATGGTCTGCACCTTTCTATCCAACACATCTGATTTCAACAAGTCTTTAATTAGCTGTCTTTTATGACATGCTTGTTAAGGGACAGTGGATCTCTTCTTTCCCCGCCCCAAAATGGGACCACTGAACCCACAAGGGGAACCCTGGTATCTGAGACATTCGTATTGCTCCATACTGTAGGGAAAAGCTGACAACAGACTGGCAAGGGTGGACAGTGATACAAGTGGGAAGATTACATCAAGACATGGTTGAACAGCAGTTTGAGAACGAGAGAGAGAGAGTGCATCCAGGTGAGAGCAATTTTGGAGATTCATTTGAGCACTTTTTATACAGGATGAAAAACATTTAGAAAAAACTGTTGTGTAAAAGTTTCTCAAAATGTGTAATGATCTCTCTCTCTCTCTCTCTCACACAGATGATGAACAGCCACCAGTTTTAGTATCTGCCGGCCTAAAATCTCATGAAGACAGTGAGAGCTCCGAAACAAATGAGGAGAAGCAAAATAGGGAAACAAATCAGCAAGCAGCTATAAATGGTAAACTAGATACTTTAGGTCACTAGACAAGTGTCAGATTTAACATGCCAGATAGTGTAGGTCAGGGCTATCCAATTGACAGCCTGCGGGCAAAGTCTTGCCCACAGAGGCCTTGCAAGTGGCCTGTCAATCATTGTCCAAAAGTAAAATGTTATTTAAAAAAAACAAAATGGTTTTCAGAAATCTGTAAATGCGGAGATACAAAGGAACCCCCACCAGTGTAGGAACAGAAAATACCACAACTGTGGGAATGTTTCATGCATGGAAATTAAATTAGTTCAGTGTAAAAGTTAGTGGTACAGTTAGCAGAACTTGCCTGTTGGGGGTGAAAAGTTATAAGATGGAAAGAATCAAATAACGGGTAGGAAAGCTATCCCTCCACTGGACGGTCAATGAAGGTGAGATATTTTTTGGACAGGAGTATGAAAATGGCAGTACAGCCCTGGCATTTAGAGCTTAGATTAATGAGAAACTCTCCTAAATGGTGACCTCTAGTACACATAAACTAATGACTTTAGATGCTGCAGAACATTAGTGGCACTAGTCACCACAGAATACCTGCTAGTAATCTTTTTATCAGATTACAATCAGATTTTCATGAATGTCTAGTCACACACAAGTCACAACCAGACATAGTTTGCCATATGCAATTGAGTACTAACAAACTGCTATGTTGTGGGTTGCTTGATTGATATGTGTTATTGTTCTTCTTTACTTCCTTTGTTGGTCGTATCTACACACGAGTGATCCTCCAGTTTTAGAGACTGCTAAACTGTCACTCGTCTTCCTCTCCTAGATGTTGAGTCAAGAAAAAGGTATATTTCTCCACGGACTCGGGAAATTGATGTACCTGTGGTAATAACTCAGGTGTGGATTAGGGAACTAGCCTTGATGCAGGAGCCTAAAGACAGGGATGCAGATTTGGTGAAGCATTTGCTGCACAGTTTAGCAGACCTGGTGCAGGCAGAAGAATATATTTTGGAGTTCAAGGTAAGTTGTTTGTTTTTAGTGTGACTTCCTTGTTGCTTCATCTTCTCACCATTCACCACCTGTAAATTCCAGCAGAAAATCTGGTTGTTTGTACACTTCTGAACTGTGATCTTATTGCAGAACTTGTTTTTTTTTTTTTGCATGCAAATCATTTTTCAGGTCTTGCTTATTTATATGCAGACTGTTGGTTCCTTGTCTCTCAGGCATATGCACTGACCTAATTAGTCGCCTGTTACAACATGCTAGTTGGGCAGTTGGTCTATTCTGCCACCCCCCCCCCCTCCCCCCAGTGGGGCCCAGAACCCACATGGGGAACCTCCTTCCCATTGTTGGTGTGTGTTAGGAGAGATTTTCCATTACTGAGGAATAATGCTGACTTGTCCAAGCAATGGTAGTGCAGTGTAAAAGTGAACAAGCCGTACTCCTCAATGAGAACAAGGTGGCTGTTCAGGACTCTCAACCAGTTACTCCTCAGTAATGCTTGTCAGTGGAGTGAATCTTCTAACAGGTCAGCCACAAAGGGATGATAACTGTGGCTGAGGCAAGATCATCTGTAGCAGCAGTTAGCTCCTCATGGCTTTTGAACAATGAACTAAGGGAGAAAGTGAATAGGTAGAAGAGATATATGGAAATGAAAGAATGAATACAAATAAAAGGTTGACTGAAAGGAATGAACAGTACTTTTGTGTTTTCAAACTGGACACAGTTTATCTGTTTTCTTCTGGGTGTAGTACCATGAAAAACAAATTAGTTTCCTCAACCATCTGAGTAGAACAGACCAAATCACCTGTTTCCTACTTTCTTATACCTTGGTCGTAGCAGACTCAACAAACACTCATATAAATTAGGTATGAGCCAAACAGCTCTCTGCTAGTGTCTTTGTTCTGAATAAACCCCAGAACATGTCTGGCAACAACATGTTTCCTTAACCAGTAGACCTGACAGCTAAGCTTTGAGGAAATCTAAGAGACTTTCAGCTGACACCCTATTTATGGCTTATAGTGAATTAAGCGCATGACCAGAGGTTGCTGAAAAAGAAGATCTGTCTCTTTATGTTATCTTCCAGCATATATTGTTGCCTGCCTCTTGCTTGTCTGCTTTCAGTGTTTTCCTCCAGCATGTCTTTTATAAGAACATTATGTCTTTCAGTATGGTTACATTCTTTTATTCTTCTTTTTTTTTTCTTCTTCCATCAGATAAACTTTGTTGTGTAACTGCTGTAGAATATTTGATGTATTTGTTTGTTTACAAGTGTCTTTGTATAATATTATCTGTTTTTGTGTGGGTCCACATTCTAGGACCTCAGTTTGATGTTTTAATTGCCAATGCTTCTGCACAGCATTTAATGATGATTTCTGTAGATAGTAATATTTTTTTCTCTCCAAGAAGTTAAACCGATTAACAAAGGCTCAGTGAAGTCGGTCAGATGTATAATTTGCTCAATATTTATAGGAGGAATTAATTATAATAAAGACAGTATTTTTCTGCAAAGGCTGAGCAATTCATAGTGTATTTTGTGGCGCGGTGATTTATGTCACAGGCGTGAGGGGAAGTTAAGTCCAACACGATGTGTATAAGGAGATACTCCGTACGTCACTCGGGCGCCAGTCCTTTACTATCCTGGTTGTACGGAACCTTACGCAAGACCCCTACAGCACGTCCTCGTCGTGCGCCACGGATAATGTCTCAAATGAGCATTAACAGAGCTGTCAGGGGATCTCGGAGTTCGGCGGCCCCCAGAGGTGATGTGTCCTTGTGGCTCTCATCAGCCCGCCCCCAAACGCTTGGGTGAAAAATGTAATCAAAACTCATTAGGAACATGGGTAGGTTTGCCAAACGTACAGCCAAAATTACAACCCTTGGTTAAAAGACTGTGGAGTAAAGAGAACATTGTTCACTGCACATCCTCTGTTAACCCTCAGTGTCGTCGTCACCGCGCTGAGGTACACCACAACAGCAACCATCCATAGGCTGGCCATCCTTGTACATCCTCGGTTAACCCCCAGTGTCGTCATCACCGCGCTGAGGTACACCACAACAGCAACCATCCATGGGCTGGCCATTCATGTACATCCTCGGTTAACCCTCAGTGTCATCGTCACCGCGCTGAGGTACACCACAACAGCAACCATCCATCGGATGGCTAAGCCTAATTGTCCGACAAAACAAGATCATATGGACCTAAATCTGACCATCAAAATTTGTATTGAACTGAAAAAGACCGAATGTCCACACCCAAAGACCCCACTCGCCCGAGTGTTGGGACAAAACTGATAACGATATGCCTGATGCAGGATGTAAAATTCTGTCGGGCTAACGGCTCGTCAAAGAAATCTAACGTGTGAAGAAAAACAGAATGTACCTATCTGTGTGGTCACAAAAGTCCAAAACCCACGGGCTGCTCCCCGCTGACTTCCAGAGGGCGCAGCCCCTGTCGAGCGGGAGGCCTGATACGGTTGTGAGGTTAAGCAGGCATGTGCAGGACGTGACGATTCCTTGGGTGAGCCCAGAACCAGAGCGCCATGTGCCGGCTCTGCATGCATGGAAGCCTCCTTGGATGGCGGGGAATGCCCATGATCTGCCCCTGCCTTCCCTTGAGGGCTAACTGTTCCACAGGGGGCTGCCCCAAAGGGGTACTCCGAGGGCAATACCTGCGGAGAAGGAGACAATGTGGACACCACACAAATCAGGCAACGTCTCGACCCACACAAAACAATGGCCACAGTCAACCTAGAAATAGGCCTGACGTCTTCCTTCGAAGTCGGAGTACAGCTGCCCATGAGGCAGGGAAATGAAAAACAGTTGTACACGCAAAAATCAGGTCCAGGTGAAAGCCAAAAGTCCAAGCGGACGATTAACCGGGACTTTCCACTGGAATTCACAGCCGGTGATCGATAATAAAAATATAGTGCATTTTATCATCTCCATTGTCACATCCTTCTTTTGCATTTAATATCTAGACCATTCTTTGTACTTTGTAAGATTTGGCTGACTAAACTTATCATTTCTGCAACAGAACCTGCACCAGATGAAAGCCACCGGCTCTTGCCAAGTTGCAAAGTTAACAGAGAACAAGTTCCGGAATCGATACAGAAATGTTTTACCCTGTAGGTGATTAGACCCTCATTTCTGTCTGTGGTTACATACACCAGGGCTTTTGAACTTATTCTTTCCTACCAAGAATGCGAAAAAATAGAGAACTTTTATTATGGAGATGGCACAGGATTACATCAACCTCTGTAGATACAAACATATGTCTTAGGAATTTACTAATCAATTCTTTAAAAGTTTTTATTTTGTTGTTGTCCACTTCTGAACTTTGGTCTTATTCCAGAAATTGAATTTTACTTGTATACAGACTGTTGGTTACTGTTGGGATGCAGTGGGTCTGATGTCTTCTCCCCCAAAAATGGGGCACCCTGAACCCACACAAAAAAGGGGGGATTAGTAAACATGGACATAGATTGGCATTAGATAGGGCACCACAGAGAGCAGTGTTTGTTATACAGATACAATGGTCGACCACGCAGAAGATGGACCACAGAAATACCAGAGACATTGAAAAGTACTTTATACGAAGCCAACAAAAGGGCCCGTTCCAGATCTCTTCCTGCCCTGACAGTGTGAGGCTTTCCAGGAGTAGAGAAAAGAAGGAGAAGAAGAACAGAGTGAAGCATTAAAGGGAATGTATTCCCTGGGGTGTGAAACAAAATATGTCATGTGAAAAGTTACTGAAAGACCTTTTTCACACCAGTGGAGTAGCGGGCATATGGTACAAGACTTGTAGACCAGTGGAGCTCGTTATGCGATGTAAACATCATGTTGGCTGCCTTTATTTCCTGGGACTTTACCTGTTATCCATTTTAGGCTACATTATCCTGTTTTTTTTTAAAGTCATAAAAAAGAAAAACATAAGACTCAGTGAGGATTCAAGCTCAAAACCTTCAGGCTGACAGGCAAGTTTTTAGCCACAGCCCCCTTTTTTAGTTTACTGACTGTATTATCTTATCACGAGAGTCCCCGCAGCGGAGTGGTTAGACGCTCGCCAGAGATCGGAAGGTCATGGGTTCACTCCCTGGCGGAGCCCAACTTTTTTCAAAAAGGACCTTGGCTCCCAAGTCAATCTAGCTTTGAGTGGGTACCGGGTGCAGTCCCGGCCGGGGTAATGCTGACCACATCACCTATCTTGTGCCGATTGGTCTATAAAAAATATAGGTCTAGCCTTATTTGCCTTATACGCCTAAAGGTGTGGAAAAGGGTCCTTTACTTTACTTTATTATCTTATCAAACCTGAGAATAACAGAAAATGTAATGCGTCTTCCACAGTTGATGAAAACAGAGTTAAACTAAGGAACCAGGCAAATGATTACATCAATGCCAATAACATCTGTATGAAAGTTGGACAGTCCGAACTGCGCTACATCGCCTGTCAGGGCCCCACTCCAGAAACAGTTTCCGACTTTTGGGTCATGGTCTGGCAGGAGCAGGTCAGTGTCCTTGTAATGCTGACCCAGGAAGTTGAAGGCGGGAAGGTCAAGTGTCATCCCTACTGGCCACAGACCAAAGAGGATGTGCTCCTGGCAGATAAAGGGTGAGAATTTGTAGACAACCTTTCACTGATTACTAATTCAAGAATTGACATGGCATACCAAACATATCTGTAGACGTTGCAAATGTATTACAGGTACATATGCACTGTATCAACATCTTGAATAATGTAGATCTCTCAACCTGTCTTCTTTTTTTTCCCCCCTCCCAGGCAGTAGTTTTGAGATGAGAAGGCCACAGGCTCTGTGAAGGTGGTGGTTTGTGGTGTGTCTTTCCCTGATCTATACAGTTTGGTTTCCACTGGTATACCAGCTGGGCAGATCTAGGATCTGTCAACGTCATGCTTGTATCTAATAGAGGTTGATGTAATCCTGTGCCATCTCCACAGTAAAGGTTGGCTGTAGTGGATCTCCAGCACTGTCTCTCACTCTGGTTGTATATTCTCCCAGACTGCTGTTTGTCAATCTCTAATTGGCATCCTCCCACTTGTATCAATGTCTAACTGTTACTTGACTTCAGCTTTTTTTTTCTGTGTTGTTTCTTTATAAAAGTTATATATATTTTAAAGTGGCTGAAATATTTAACTTATCAGTTTTGTTTTATTTCTGTCAGCAACCCTTTGTTCATTTCCAGTCTCCCTTAGAAGTCTGTATTTATGGTGTTTATTCCCAAAATGTAATGTATTTACATATATTCACTGATGTTTGTCAGAATGCTGGTACAGCAATATATTTACATTTATTCATTTATATTTTTCAAAAAGCTGGTACAGTTAATATATTTACGTATATTCACTTATATTTGTCAGAAAGCTGGTACAGTAATATATTTATGTATATTCACTTATGTTTGTAGAAAACTCATACAGTAATATATTTACATATATTCACTAATATTTGTCAGAATGATGGTACAGTAATATACTTATGTATATTTACTGGTATTTGTCAGGAAGCTGGTAGAGTAATATATTTACGTATATTCACTGATATTTGTCAGAATGCTAGTACAGTAATATATTTACGTATATCACTGATATTTGTCAGAAAGCTGGTACACTAATATACTGACATATATTCACTTGTGTTTGTCAGAATGCTGGTACACTAATATACTGACATATATTCACTTGTGTTTGTCAGAATGCTGGTACACTAATATACTGACATATATTCACTTGTGTTTGTCAGAATGCTGGTACACTAATATACTGACATATATTCACTGATATTTGTCAAAATGCTGGTACAGTGATATATTTATGTATATTCACTGATATTTGTCAGAATGCTGGTACACTAATATACTGACATATATTCACTGATATTTGTCAGAATGCTGGTACACTAATATACTGACATATATTCACTGATATTTGTCAGAATGCTGGTACACTAATATACTGACATATATTTACTGATATTTGTCAGAAAGCTGGTACAGTAATATACTGACGTATATTCACTGATATTTGTCAGAAAGCTGGTACAGTAATATACTGACGTATATTCACTGATATTTGTCAGAAAGCTGGTACAGTAATATACTGACGTATATTCACTGATATTTGTCAGAATGCTGGTACAGTAATATGTTTACATATATTCACTGATATTTGTCAGAATGCTGGTACAGTAATATGTTTACATATATTCACTGATATTTGTCAGAATGCTGGTACAGTAATATGTTTACATATATTCACTGATATTTGTCAGAATGCTGGTACAGTAATATGTTTACATATATTCACATATATTTGTCAGAATGCTGGTACAGTAATATGTTTACATATATTCACTGATATTTGTCAGAATGCTGGTACAGTAATATGTTTACATATATTCACTGATATTTGTCAGAATGCTGGTGGTCACACTGGCCAGGTCGTACCAGTTGGAGGACTTCACAGTGAACCAAATGTACATTGAGAACAAAGATACTAGGTCAACGAGAGAGGTCACTCAGATACAGTACACATCCTGGCCAGACCACGGTGTGCCGGAAACTGCTCTTCCATTGTTGAAAGTATGTTGTGCCTGTTGAGTAATTTGTTTTTTTTTAACATATTGGAAATTTTCTGGTCGTGTCTGTATTTTTCTTTTATTTAAGTATTTACAGAAACAGTGGCGATGTATTAAACTCATCATGGGTAGAAACAAACAGGAAATAACCGAACAGGCACTTAGATGGGAAACAAATGGGACCTGTCCCTCTTTTTGATACCATGCTTTCTGCTATTATTTTTTCCAATCTGCGGGAGCGCTTGATATGACCAGATGGGAAACAGATGGAATGAAGGATGCCCAAGAGAAACCCTAAGACATTGATGAGAGAGACTTAAAGAGTTGCATTTATAATATTCACAAGATTGTGCAGGCTGAATCAAAATGGAACAGTAGATTGTATAAGCCAACACTGTGTGACTTATAAATGGCACAAAAATGATGTTTAGTTTATTTATTTTTATACTCTTCTTACTTTACTTCGTCTTGTTCATAGTGTATATTTCATTTTAAATTTGTGTTTTTGTAGGTCCCCTTTTGTCTGTGTGATTAACAATCCTCAGACATTTTCTGTCAACCATTTTATATGATTGGGGAGTTGCCGCGGCAGAGCGGCTAGACGCTGGCCATGGATCGGAAGATCGTAGGTTCGCCCCCTGGCAGAGCCGGCCTTTTTTTCAAAAATGACCTTGGCTTCCAGGTCAACCAAGCCCTGAGTGGGTACCGGGTGCAGTCCTGGGAAGTAAAGGTGGCGGGCATGATGCTGACCGCATCAACCATCTTGTGCCAATTGGTTTATAAAATATAGGTCTAGCCTTATATGCCCTATACTCCTAAAGGCATGGAAAAGGGTCCTTTACTTTACTTTACTATTCCATTTGATTCTACACATGTTTATTGGTGATTCTAAACGGTGCATAATATCTTGGAGGTGTGCCTCAGTGACATCCTATAGCCATACATTTTCTGTCCTCAGCTGCTGCAGATTGTCCACTTGTTGGAGGATGGATCAGCGCCCATCATACACTGCAGTGCAGGCATTGGTCGTACGGGCAGCTTCATTGCTGTCGATACTGCCTTGGCCACAATTGAGCAGGGGCTGCAGGTAAGTCATTTATTTACACACTTCACAAGCATTTGCTGGATATCCAGGGTTGAACAATCTCCATTGCTGTTTATTATCTATATCCTCTTCATGTCACTGTTGACACATAAGGCATTCACAAGTGATCTCCATTGCTGCCGGCCTGCTGCTTTTCTGCCCATGGTATCCAATGTCAGTTTACATTCCTTTATTTCCTGTTCTAATGTCCTTCTCCAGGTTTTCTTAGGTCGCCCACGTCTCATTTTTCCATCTGCTGTCCACCGGAGATGTTTTTTTCCAGTGTCACAAGTCATTCAGCAAACGTCCAAACCATCTCCATCGTCTTACTTTGATAACATTTGCCTGTGATGCACATTCAATTTTCTTCCTGAGTTCTTCATTTGTGATCTTGTTTGGCCAAAATATTTGTAGAATTCTCCTTAAACATTTATTTTGAAAAGTCTCAGGTTTATGTGTAATTCCCGCTGTCATTTTCCAACATTCACTGTTGTATAATAGTATGTATTAATGAAATGTTGCTGTTTATTATTCAGCCTAGATATTCAGAGATTGTGACATTTTCAGTTTCTTCACCACACACGCACACACACACACACACATTCTCTCTCTCTCTCTCTCTCTCTCTCTCTCTCTCTCTCTCCCTCCCTCCCTCCTCCCTCCCTCCCTCCCTCCCTCTCTCTCTCTCTCTCTCTCTCTCTCTCTCTCTCTCTCTCTCTCTCTCTCTCTCTCTCTCTCTCTCTCTCTCTCTCTCTCTCTCAGGGAGATCTAAAGCATAATAAAAAGGGTAATAATGTTATAATATCCTGTGTGTGATAATTATTGGGTTAAAAAAAATCTTGCAGCCCACCTGCCCTCAAAGTGGTTTGAAACTTAGAGGGAGAGAGAGAGAGAAGGGGGGGGGGGGGGGGGGGGGGGGGAGGACATTTAAAGTTTAGTTGTCTTTATTGCGATAAATGAAACTGGATGTCTTTTTCATTATTTCCTTTTTGTATATTGGGAGTTTAGTTAATCTAACCCTCAAATCACTTGACTCAGAAAGTTTGCTCCTCTGTTTTGTATGTAAATGTACGTTGAGAATGCACTAAAGCTTTGCCAATAGCATTGTTTTTTTAATACACCTGCATCCAGAAGTTTTCTTGGCTTTCCTAACGGTATGTCTGTTTTAAACTGCTGCCTTCGTTGATTCTCAAGCAGATTGTTGCAAAATTCTTTATTGCTGCTGCGGCACCCCTGGCATACGCTCACGGCACCCAGTTTGAGAACCGCTGATCTAGTGTACATTGGTATTTTTAGACCATTTATTTTACATCTTGTGTTTATTTTCCAGTTGGATTTGCCAGAGATAGTCCGTGAAATGCGCTCACAACGGTATGGGATGATTCAAACAACGGTGAGCATATGTGGATTCCTAGTTGTTACAGTTATTTCTGATCTCCGCTGATTAACCCTTACATTCACCGAAATCTGTCAGTCTACAGTATTTGTTTCCTGTGTCTTTCTTTCTGGAAAATCAATCTCTCCTAAAAATATGATTCCACTATTTCTACACATAAGTGTCTTCTCACATGATGTCTGAATCTATATTATTATTTTCCAAAATACTGTTTACTTCCACATCCCACAAAAAAGCTTCCGTTACACCAATATCTGTAAAAGGCTGTTTTTAATTTCAGTAATACAAATTTTGTTAAATCTCTTCTTAGGCTGATAACATTTATTTTTTAAAGTATTATACTTGCACAAAAATGCTAATGTGAATATCTTTTGTTTTTTAGTCATTTCCCCAGCTTGTTTTTTTTTTTTAAAATTCTGTGTTAGCTGCTTGTATTTACCATTTTTTTTTGGGCAGCATAGTATGTGAGGTCGGCTCTGTGGCTAAGTCGATGCCAATGCTTCATAATGCCAGGTTCGATCCCAGCTGCAGGTCTTGCGCCTTGCGTTGGTTTCGACAGTGGTATCAAGAAAGCCGACAGTCCAGAAAGCAGTGGCAAACTACTGAACGTAATTTGCCTAGAAAAACCACACCACAGCCAGGGGCTGTTGGGGTTGGTTCTGCAACCTCCTGTAAAGGATACACAACTAACCTTTATAGTATGTGAGGGTCTAAAACCTTTTTTTTTAAATGTACTGAGAAAGTTTTATCTTAATGATGCTTTCCGTTTCCTTGTTTCCTGACAGGATCAGTATCTGTTCTGTTACTCAGCTTGTATGGAAGCTCTGCTCTCTCTAGTCAAGTAGTTGGCCGAGGCGTGACTCGTGCGGACAGAGCTATCACATTACTCAGGTCTATGACTGTGATCACGTTGTTACCACTTCCCACCAAACAGTTGTTTTAAAGGCAGCTACAGACTTTATAAAGAGGTATTTGTTGGTTGTGGTGAAGATGCCAAGACAGAACAAAGCTCACAGCCAAAGAAAGCTCGCAGTTTAGAGGTCTGAACCATGCAGACTCCAGAGATGCAGCTACGGTTGAGATTGTTTGGTTTTATTTGTGTACTGAGAGATTTTGCTCAATATAATGTGTCTCTCCTTTACCCTTGGATGAGGTAAGACAAGAACACTGACCCAATCTGGGATTCTGATGATCACGAGAGATCACTTCTCAATGTGGCACATCTTAATGATGATGGATGAGAGATGGGTTGTCTTGAAAAGCATGGGAAATCGTTCATAAAAAAATTGGGCTATCTCTGAAACAGGATTTTTTTTTTTTTAGATGTTTCAGATGTGATAATAGGGCTGTCTTTGTTTTCTCTGCAGCACAATTTTAAAGTGGTTGGTGTGGCTAGATTTAGATAGTCAGGCAAACTTATTGAGCCGAGAATTTTTAAAATAGGTTCCAAATGAACATAAATCAGCATTATGTATATAAAAGCCATCATTTTAACATATGTTCTGTTGTTGTCAGTGGCCAGGCTCACGTCTTTTCTAGCACCTACATACTGTCCTCACTGGCACAACGCTGACCATGTGATTTTTCTCAAGATGTTTAGAACTACGGGAGAATGTATACGACTGTCAGAGTGATTTGTAAGCCCATGAACCTTGTCCTGGCAGTAGGACTGCAGACCTAGCATCCCATAACACTGAAACTCATGTGTAACAGTAGACTTCTGTTGTTTTGTCTGCTTCTCATCTTTTGTACAATCACTCCTTTGTGGTTGAACTACTTCGGACTTCTTGCCTTTATCAATGCACAAAATATGTGTAGTGCATTCCCTGTACCATTTCTTTCCCATGTTTTATATGCTCTGCCTTGGTCCTTAACCACACCTATGTGTGATAATTATTCTGTGGTTATCCTGCACAAATACCATGCCAAATTAAGTATAATAAAGTCTTGATTATGCAGTGTTGTTTGCAGGAAGTAGCTATCTACACTCAGTGAGATTGAGGAGCAATCAAAAATGAACTGAGGTGTTAGAAGCCATTTTTGATGCAGTACAAGTGAGACAACCACGCAGGTTCAACCGACATCTACGAGATGGAATATCAACATTTAATTGCAGCCTGTATACCAGACATCCATATGACCAGTTACCCCTTCTGTGTCTAATGAAATAGAAGGCAGCTAATTAGTTTTCCAAAAAAGGATATATTGGACACAAAGCTACATGTATCGCAGCCTGCTGTAAAGTCGCAACATAATGTGCCAACTGGCCTTTTCTGGATGAATGAAGAAGAAAGTTTGATAACATCTAAATGTGAACCGAAAAAGAGATTCTTGCCTACCAACAAGTAAGAAGATTCAGCACCAGCTTTTTGTTTGAAGCCAACACCTCATCTGATTGAGCAATTGATGTTATTGTGTGCAATATCATAAATTATAACTTTATTTCTTTTATGTGAAATACTTTTCTCATCAGGATTGTATACTTTATCCAGATAGGTTGTCACCAACTGTTTTAATGTTAATATTCGCAGCTGTTGCCCAGACATATGTTATATATGAAATTGTTCTTGTTGATGTATGTTGCAGCCCTTCATCTGTGAAATTTGTACATTAAATTTTATTTTTATATCTGAATTGTACAGTATGGCCTTCCTGAGGTTTGACAATAATGGCAGTTTGATGGAGACAGCTGAAAGCCTTCCTCATGTTTAAAAAATTAATAATCAAGGATCCTTTTTCCTACCTTGAGGTGTATTTGGGACATGTAGCTCAGATCATATTCAGTTAGACCAGTCAACACTTGTTAAGTGATGTGGTTTAGTATTATACCAGTTCTCATAACACTTCCTGGATTCCATTTTTTAGAGTGACTAGCTCGGGAAGCACAGCTCAGTTTTAACAAAAAAAACGTTTTGATGGGAGATTCAGAAACATTATCGCTGGGGTGCCACACTAGGGCGTTATCCCTAACAACACTATACATTATTTTTATTAAAACAAATAGATAAATGGGGAAACCAACCTATGATATGGGAAACATGAAACATCTCTTTGGCATTTCTGTTGCTTTTGTTGAATTCTAGGAAAAGGCTTATATTGTGATTAGGTGAAACCTGGAGGAAGGGTTTCATATATTATGTGAATTGGTGAAACCCTGGAAAAAGGGGTTCATGTAGTATGATATAGTCAACCTTAGGTTTGGATGCGGTTTGGTGAAACCCTGGGAAAGAGATTATTATATCATGTGATTTTGTGCAACTCTTTCTATAGAGTCAACTCTGTGATTTGAAATTTCATTGAAGACCGACTACCTATATTTTGTGAATGGCATCAATAGATACACCAGCACTCTAGTTGTCCCCAGTAGAACTTCAGCATCTTTGTTCATTTCAAGATCATCTTTATCGCACATCCGACATGACCATAAGTGCTCCGATCTCCTCCTGAGTATGTCTGCAAGTGTTTTTAGGCTAACAACTCCCATTCTGTTCTGTCTGAAATGACGGTAGGCTCCCGCATGGTCTTTCTGTCTTGCTGCTCCAATCTCATATGGCATTGATGATGTCTCTCCTGTCCATAGATGGCGCATTAGCCAAGTGATGTGTATTTGTAAGTTGCAGCCCTTCATCTATTAAATTAGTGCATGTCCTGCTGGTCGCTTTTGACGAGGGGGGGGGGGGAGAATTTTGCCTCAGTGCTGTTTTGAACCCAAGACCTCCAGTCCAGTAGGTAAGCATCTAGTCACTGCATTACAGCTACTGGTTGTACAAGAGGTTCCCCTTCCCACCCCATCCCTCTCCCCCCCCCCCCCAACACTGTACTAAAGTAAAGCCTTGGAAATGGGGCAGTTGGTGCTAGAGACTATCCAAGCTCATATTAATATGTTTAACCAGTACCAACTCATCAGAAAAATGACTACCAGATGTTTCTAGATGGTAAAGATGCTGACAGTGGGAACCTATAATCCTCTTCTTATAATACTGGAATCTAGTATATGTGAAATAACCCACTCTCGCACACTATCCCAGGCAATAACTGCAAGATGCTGACCACATTTTATTTTTGAGGACACATTGGGGTGCCGGTGTATTTGTCACACATTGTAATTTTTGGACATGTCCAGCAGTCATTTGTATTCAAATTTCCAGTATTCGATAAACGATTAGTTTTCAGTAAATATACATAAATATACCTGTTCATATATACATTCCTGTACTCTTGTGCCCATATGGCAGTCATCCACGTTTCTACTACTTAAAATCTGAGATTTATATCTCCTTTGAGCTGTGGAACAAATAACAGTGTCTTCTTGTTTCACTGTTGAATAAAGCTATATAAACCCAAGTTTTGTTTCGCTGTGTTCTTGATAAATTAATGTGGAATGTGTGTGGCTGATCATAGTTGCAACGCATTTTGTACACACACACTCTCTCTCTCTCTGTCTGTGTGTGTGCGTGCGTGCGTGTATATATAAATGTCCCATTTCAGTGCATGTCTGGTGATTCTCTTAATTTTTTTATAGTTTCAAGATAAATAAAATGTAATGATTAAAAAAGAATAAGGGATTTAAAAAAGGGCAAAAATTTTCAAAGGAATGTAACTCTGGCACCTGAGACAACGGATCACATCCTTCAAGACTGTTCCAGATTCAAGGCTTTCAGGCAGAACTTCTGGCCAAAAGAGACACTTGTGGAGGTCAAACTTTACGTGCCGTCCTGGTGGGGTTGAACATCAGTCAATTATCCAGCCGCTAGTGACCAGTTAAGGCTGGGCAAATAAAAGCCCAAGTCAATTGTAAAAATTCACCATCATACAGATTTTATCAAATGGCTTTTGGCCCACATTCTATAGATTCAATCATCTCCTTGTCAGATGCAAATTTGGTATTTGAAGCCCTACACTGGCTCTTGCCGGGGGCCGCAAGATAGCCCGACCATAAAAATAGTTTAATGGCTGAACAAAGTTTCTGGGATCTCTCCACAGGTGATCCTCATCCACATGGTGGCACTTTGTGTCATCGGGTGTTTATCTCGTGTGATGTCCTAGTGGGGTAAAAATCTACTCTACTAACTTTGGCCCACACAGCAAGCATCTAGCCATTGTACTATATTTTACTACTGTGTCCACCCAAATATATATGTATCTGCTTGGATGTGTGGGGGGTTGGTGTTTGTGTGTTGCTTCCATCCACCCCAAAATGCCATTACTACCTTTTGTATATGAAGATATGCGAGTTCATAGAGCCGACTCACTTGATGGTCTTACCTGAGCATACAAAACCAAACGCAAAGAAAAAGTATATGAAGAAGCTAAAAATGGCAATACAAGATGCTGGTGTTGCACACACAAAATTATGCCAACAGAAATGTTGAACTAAACTAAATGAACTAAACCCCCACCAACAAGCATTTGTATAAGGCGGCAAAGTCACGAGTACATCCGCCTGATGGGTGGGGAACGAACAGGCAGCAAACAATTAAGCGAGATCTGTAAAATAATTATAAAATCAAAACTGAAGTTCCAGAAAAAAAACCAGAGTCCAGAAGTGGACGAAAAAGCAGAACTTTCTGCCAGAGTTTACAGTTGGCGAGTGCTAAGAAGAAGATAACTGAGATAAATTCAAACAGGTGAGGTAGGTGTGGTAGTGTAATGTTACCTTTAATATTCATTCATGCGCTGATTAAAACACTCGAACAAAACAATTTTGCTCTCAAAGTACATTTATTTCATACAAGAGCATAAACTGCAATGTTTTTCCAGAGTACACGACTACACCATCAAAGGTTTTCTTGGGTAAACGTGCGGAAATATTGACGTAATGTATTGTCTGGTTTCCACACTACTC